GAATGCGGCAAAGACATTTGCACATAATACTCCTGTGGGGCACTGAGCTGCACAGAACAGCACAGTCTCCATATGAGCAAAAGAATCCAGGAACACAAGTAGAGAGGCCATCACTTTTGTGGAAGGTGGCAGGAGTTGACTTAACAGACGACTGCTTCTTAAATGTTGCCTGCTCCAGAGTGAGCTCATCAAGCAGCCTGGTGATCCTAGCACCTGAGGGCAGAACCACCAATGTGGTCTACAGAGAGGTCCTTCAGTAGAGCGGGGGGGGGGGAGACATATGTCTCACTTCATTTCTTACACTACAATCTTCTCCATTAGAATTCCTACAACAGATGTTACATTTCAAACTTTACATCATCAGTATTATAACTGGATTTACAGAATTTAAATACCGTAGCGAAGCATGGGTATCAGGCTAGTTATAAAATAAAAGCAGAAATACAACTTAGACAAGCCAAATTATGCAGTACCTTTTCCCAGCATCCTAGACTGGTGCTGTAGCTTGGCTCACTCAGAGCCACAGGGAACATGCCATGGAATAAATCCAGAGGAACAAAACCCTTTTGACTCACACCACAATTGCACCTCTGGCCAGACTCAAGCTAAATACCTGCAAGAGAGAAGGAACTGAAGCTTAGCTCAGATCTCCTTCAGCTGGCAGAAAAGATCTATCCAGGCTTTCTCTACACTGGAGAGATTTGATCTGAATATTTTGGATTTTAAAGATAATTTTGGTACATAATTAGGCCATTCCTTGAAGAAAGCAATTGATCACTTTTTATGGGCATCTAGGCTTCTGAGATCTCTCGATTTTTAAAAAATGATGCTTGAATGAACTTTTTTTGATAAAAAGTCTCAGTACAATCTTGGCTAAAGGTTTGATCACACATTTGTGTGTAAAAGGCTTGATGCAAAGCTCTATAAGACTTCTGTGCATAACAGAGCACTGTGTGAATTGGGACTACCCTTTTATTTCCAATGTTCAAGAGCAGTATACATTGGCAAATGGATTTGGGAACAAACAACAAGATATGGCCTTTTCTATTTGTTCCTGTTTCTTATCTTTCTGTGGGCATCTTACTGGCCACTCTTAGACAGATCGATGAACTTGATAGGCTTAGATGTGATCCAGCAAGGCACATTCTGTGTTGGGGATTATTCTGAGTGCACAGTAGGGAGTCTATGAATTCACATCTTAACCATAGGCCCAGATAGATTCACATCTTCTGGATGGGAAATAGTAATCGCTATAGTTGCATTTACATACTGTTAGATTTGTGTTATTGTAATCATTTGCATCCTGGATTTTCTGGTCTGGACAGGAATCCAGTTACCTCACAGAATTGTGAGGATGAACAAGAAGAGGACAACTTTACAAACAAACAGTGTAAGGATAACCAATGAATTTCCCCACCCAGTTGCCATTCTTTACAAAGAAGGCTTCTTCATCTGTCTTTTGATGTTGGCAATTACTAGAATTGTGTCTGCCTTCTTCTGTTATACTGCTATCCTAGTTAACTAGTTGGATGGCAGATCATGTATGCAAAATTAAGTTCTGTGCTGAAGTGTTTTCACTATTGTACTGTGACTTTTCTGGCTTCTGTGGACACCACAATTCAGGCTTACTGTACCTTCTTTGAGCACTGCCTTTGCACAAAATGGAAATCTGAAGAAAGTAAGTTAGTTCTAAATGAGGTGGGCTTATCAAGCAAATATTCCAAAGGATTATCTAAAGAGTAAAGGAATAGTAAAGTAAATATGTCAAACATCCATTGGATATAGCCCAAAAAAGACTTTATATGTGCTTAATCTTGAAAATGTTACCAATTTCACTTTCAGAAATAGAAAGCAATTATGTGGAAAGTGAAATCCAATTATTTTAACGATGACATTAGGTTAGTGATATATCTTAAGATTTTACTGTTTTCTTACTGGTGAAAGCTTTTCAGTCAAGGATTTTCTTTCTTTTTTTTGCCCATTTATATTAGGTACCAAGTCATCAGCACACCAACAGATTTTTTCATGGTTATGGAATATGTATCCGGCGGGGAATTGTTTGATTATATCTGTAAAAATGGACGGGTAAGTAGATTTTATAACTGTGGTAAATGTGTGTATGTTGGGGGGGGGGGGCGGGATTGTGGGGGGGGGGGGGCAGGTCTGGGAAGACAATAGTGCAGGGAACAAGAGTAGTTTTGTTTAATGAGACTCTTTTAAGGTTATTAAGGCCAAAACCAGGCCTGATTATATCACAGTCTCATCTGTAATTGTGACATTTTCTCATTTGCAGCTATTTCCTATAATATTTGATGAAAACATTCTTCCAGTTCACCATGCTTCAGGTTACATGCCATTTTCATAAACTAGGAACATAGCAACATTTTCTAGCTTGCTATTCTTTTTGACCTATGGTACTCAGAACTGTTTCGTGTAGAGAAGCGCAACTGACTTGTGTGGAAATTCTTTGGTGAAATTCAGTTGGGGATAGTATGTAGTTGTAAAAGTGTGCAGAAATATGCCTGTGTGTACCCTTATAATGACAGTGTAGTGTTTTGTGACATTGTGCTGGTTGCTTCGGGCAATCCTAAGCACTTGTTTGCTCCTTTCAGTGTATCCTGGTGATCATCAGTTAGTGATATAATTGCTTAGCAATAACAGTCAGCCACAGAATTACCTAGAATGTAGGCAAGAGTTCAGTGTAAGAAGCAGAGACAATTGCTGTCCTCTGTAAATACATGTTTTATAGGCAATCAGCACCATTCATTGATGATTTTTTTAAAAAACTTCTTATTCTTTATTTGTTCTAATTTTCCTGAAACTGAATTTTCCTATTTTTCTGAAATTTTCCTGAAACTTAGTTGAGTGTTTGTATTTAGAAGACAAATTCTTTATAACAACAACAGTAATATTTTCAGTGCATCAATTCACAGGTTAGAAGAACATGAAGCTGTTCTTTTAAATTCTTATGACGCCACTAGCAGAGCTAAAATGCTCCCCACCAAATATGTGGTATAATTGACAACTCATCAAGTGAACTTTGTATTTATTTATTTTTGCCATCATGTCACAGCTGACTAATACAACTGTAGGATTTTCAAGACAAGAGGCATTGAGAGGTGGCTTGCCAGTGCCTGCCTCTCGGGAAAATTTAGTACCCCCCCCCCCCCCCGGCAGCCTTAAATTTTCCTGATTTGCTCTATTGCTCCTAATTCATCCAGCAAAAAGTATTATAGTAAACTATACAATTACATTTAGTTATAAAATATAAAGTGTATGATCATCATGATTACAGCTTTATGATTAATGGGCAAGGCTCATCAATTAATGCCCTGAACACTAGTTAAAAATAGCATTTCTATTAACAGACCTTGCCAGCTTGAGCTTCCTCCCTACCTCATTTTCCATGCATGTGGAGAGTAGCATGAGGTGGTAGATGGACAGTATGACTTAATATTATAGTAGAGGACATCAATTTTAAATGCTATCACATCATTCCCCTTTGATTCTGCTGTTGACTGAAGATACCTATCGAAAGAGTGGGAAGATTAAGCATGTCCTATCCCTTTGTTCTGCCTGGTGCTATAGCTCAGGATGAGAGTGAAAGGCTATGAGGATGATTTTTGAAAGAAGAGGAGTACTCTTAGGCAATGCTCCCTCTAAGCTGTGGAGTCTTGTGAGCAAAAATTCTACTTTGTGAGCTACTGGCATTAGAGTTGTGAGCAAGCGATTTGGCTACTGCATAAATTAGTTTGCCCTGGAGCCATCCTGCCTGAGCTGAGACAAAAATGTGTGAGCAGGAGGCTGAAAAACTGTGAGTTAGCTCACACTAATTCAGCTTAGAGAGAATACTGCTCTTAGGCAGGTTCTTCCATGATGTGGAAGGAAACAATGTCCATGCATGTGGTAGTGGTAACAATGAAAATTTTCAGAGCAATTATTTGAATGTCTTTGTAGCTTAGGAGTCTTTACTTAGCAGCTTTGATTCTAAGGCTTGTGCCATGAAGTATCGTTTTTGGATTCCCCCTGCCCCGCATTTGCTTAGTGTTGTTCCACTGTAATTCTGTCTCCTATGACTCATTAAAGAGACACATCTTTCTTTGCTGAGACTCCTTTCAAAAAAACCTTGAGCATTCTTTCTCATCCTGCATATTTTGTAGGTTGAAGAGGCTGAAGCAAGGCGCCTTTTCCAGCAAATTCTGTCGGCTGTGGATTACTGTCATCGGCATATGGTGGTTCACAGAGACCTGAAACCAGAGAATGTGCTGCTGGATGCACACATGAATGCCAAGATAGCTGATTTTGGTATGTGACCCCAGCAGCATTCCAGAAATGCAACCCAGTGTGTCAAGGCTAACATCCTTCAAAGAACCCAGAGTCAATTTTCATCACTGCTAGCAGTTTCTTTTCTACTGTGGAAAGCTTCACTTCTTATAAACATTGGCCTGGTTCTAGCTGGGCTACTAAATTTACATCTATGCTCTACAATATCAGAGTGCCAATGAGAGCTCGTATGATTGACTGCTACTCCATTCATAACATTTGCTGAAGAAATGCCCATGGCTAGGTGAAGTCTTCTTCCTCACATCTGGTTTTCTGTGTGGAGAGAACTGCTTTTGTATTAATTTACATCATTTATAGTCTGCCCTTCTCACAGGGACTCAAGGCAGATTACACATAGTGGTCAGTACAATAAATAAAATGAAACATTCAGTAAACAGTGACACAGGATTGTACAGGTCTGGAACCAACCAGAATTCTGAAAGATAGAAGTGAAGCACAGCATAACTATTATAGCAATCTGCTGATGATCCCCGGCACTAGGAATGTCCAGCTGTGTTCAACCAGGTCCTGGCCCCGACCTGGGCTTTCTCGGTCCTGGCCCCAACCTGGTGGAACTCTCCGCCAAATGACATTAGGGCCCTGTGGAACCTTACGCAGTTCCGCAGGGCCTGCAAGGCAGAGATGTTCTGCAGGCTTTCAGTTTAGGGCAACAACGATTGCCCTTCCACTGGCACCCCCTTTCCTTTTCCTCCCCCCCCCCCAATTGCTGCTATGAGTTCCTTCTCCCCCTGCCCAGAAACTGGCCCGAGAGTCCAGAGTTGGAGTAGAAATTTCCAGGATGACATCATCATAGATTCTATTTGGGCCTTTGGTTTTAGTTTTATTGGGTCATTCTGTAGATTGTTAATGTTTTGTATGTTTTTATGGCATTATACCTTTATGTACATCACCCAAAGCCTGGCATAAGCTGGAATAGGGTGATTAACAAATTTAATAAATAATAATAAATAATTAACAGCAAAAAAGACATAATAGGATGCTACTTACAATAAGCTGTATGCAGCAGTATAGACTACAGTCCCTAATCATTTATTCGAGTAAGTTTGTAAACTGTTTTGTACAGTGCAGTTCTGTTACCTGCACAGAAAGGCCCACTTGAATAAGAGTTAAAGTTTTGTCTACGGTAGTATTTTCTTTCTATATTTAATCCCAACCATTGATACATTTCCTGTTATTTCATTTGAAAGACATATCTTTTTTCTCATTTCTCTGTATGAGTAGGCATGATCATGTGCCTTCAAGCACAGAGGGCAAAATTTTGATCCATCAAATCATCTGGAGATACACAGCAATATGTCAGGCTAGACACTGCGAACTAGGGATGGGCACAAACCTAAAAAGGGCTGTTCGGTTTGGGGCAGCCATGAACTGAACCCAGAACTGAACTGAACCCAAAGGGCCCCACCCGAACTGAGCCTGTCCAGGGAATTTGGTTCCCCCTTTCTCCCAGTTGCGGCAACTTACCTTTCACCTTTTTCCTGGTTGCGGCTTGCTGGGGCCAGGAAAAAGAGTGGGGGATCACTTGAGAAATGACTTTATGACAAACCCATGTTTCTTCTCTTCTGTGAGGCAGATTTTCTCACCAAAACACTGTTCACCACTCTAACTGAGCAGCCTCTTAGTAGCGTGTTTGAATTATAAACTTATAACTTTCTTTCTGTTCCACCCAGTGTTAAAGAAGTTATTTGGCTTTTGCCCAGGCCAGAGTTTTATTGTAACTCAATAGGAGCCATATAACCCTTTGAAAATGGCACTTGACACAAAGTAAAGTTCAAACAGAAAGGTTGATTTTATTGAACAAGTACAGTTGGATCAGGAACAGGGTAGGGGACAATGAGTTGAGGAAACTGTAGTTCTATAAAAGAAAATTAGAATATTTTGAACAGACAACAGAGCATAATTGAAGCTTAAATTCTCAGTTCTATACTCTGAGAGATTGGTATCTTGTAGATTTCATTCAGCAACAATGTGTCTTAATAAAGGGTCATAGAAAATATCTTAGTTTTCTGGAAGTTAGAACTTTCTTCCTGTATATCAGTACTTCCCTTTTGGGGATTATAACTTTCCCTTTCTGTACTTTTTTTTTTTTTAAATAATCTATTTATTGATTTCAACACATATCAAAGAACAAACAAACAGACATACATCACACACATACATCATATATAGGTATACATATCTTTGGTACCTTGTAGCATTATACAATAACCATAAATATCATTCTTTTAGTTTACCACTTCTCCGTTACAGTTTCTAGTAGCGCATCCTATAGCTATTTTATACCATATTTCCATTTTACTTACACTTGGTCAAAATCCAACCATTTTAGCAACTAGTTTTCCCTATCTCCCCTTCTTGCTTTCTGTAAAACACATCATCTTAGTTTCTATTAAATTCATAGATATTGATCCTTTGTCCAACTTATTATTATCAGACCACACTCTCTACCCTATTTCAACCACAGTTTTCCTTAATGATAAAGTATCCTTATGTAGCATTGCAAAATAATATTTTATACCTAAAAGTACACCTTCCTGGTTCCACTTAGTTCTTACCACAATAACAGGACTGTTTTATTATAATCTTCCCCCTCCTCTATGAGGATTACTTTTAAATCAAATTACTACAGATCTCAATTATCTTCCAGTTCCCAACCAATACTTGTACAGACAGTTTCCCCATATAATAGTTCAACTTTAACAATTACACATTCCTAATTGGTTGTAATATTTCATATTGCTACATTCCATCTCAATTTCAAACTTATCCTTTATGCAAAACAATTGCCTCGAATAGTAGTTCAACTTCAACAATTCTACACTACTAATTAGTTATAATATTACATATTGTTACATATTGTTACATTACTCCTAATTCATCTTTCCATTCTTACCATACCCTAATACCACATATGGCTATCTAAAGGCAGATACATCCCTTTTCTCCTACCTCCCCTTCCTTTCTCTAATTCTTCTTCTTCTCTTTCTACTTCTTTCAAATGCCAGAAGTTCTTAAATTCCAATTGTCTTAAGACCAAACTTTGCCAGGTCCCTTCCCACAGATAGATCCCTGTAGTACATCCTCTGCGTATAAGGCTTGGTTAACTAAGGGCTCCCTCTCCTGGTCAAGATCTTGCGGTTTTAACACAGGTGAACCTCGTTCCAGTCCCTCTTTATTATCTATCTCCTCCCGTGGAGCCTGTTGTTCTCCGAATACACTTTTAAACGTTGATATTACTGCTGAGGCAAATGCTTGTTTAATAGATTCCTCCAGAGACGCTTTAAACTGTTCCACATTAAAGCCTTCTATTTGTAAAAATGTATCTGTTTCTATTTCGCCCTCCGTTTTTACTTCCGCCATTTTCTCGTTCCGCTCTACACCGTTTTACAAATAGTCCCTGCTACTTTTAATCCAGTTATCCTCAAAGTCTTTTCAATTCCACAGTTTATTTCCACATTTGTCCATACTTCATTAAACAACTTTTAAAGTCCGGTATACTTTTCCATTCTTACCCCCTTTCTTCGCAACTTCCATCTCTCCTCTAGCTTTCTCTAGCCGCTTTCGCCACATGATTGAGGTGTACTAAATGGGGTATTTAGCTCACAGTCTTCGCTTCTTACCAAAGTATGCGCTCAGAGAAATTCTTCTTAACAAGGCACCAATTTCTTACTCTTAAACAACTTTAAAAACGGCTGGTCGTTGCTAATTGAACACGGAGGACGTGTTCATTCCACTACTCATCCCTGCTTCGGGGCAGCCAGCTACACCCCCCGCGATTTGCCATCAACGGGGGGGGCAGAAACACCCCCTGCAACTTCCCCTCCCTTCAGGAGAGGAAGCGGAGCTCACCCGCCGGACAGGGAGCCCCAGAAAAGATGAAGGGGTGTCGGTCGGGTCGGAGACGATCCGATACCCGACCGATCACAGCGCCGTCAAACCGGCTTTCCCTTTCTGTACTCTTGAGGAGTCTAAGACTGTTTCCCTTTTCACTTCTCAAACCAGAGGTCCCTTCTGAGTTGAACCCTCTGAATAACTGGGTAAGGAATATCCTCCTTTTCCTAGGAGCAATAACACTTTTCTATTTGGATAGGCTTGCAGTTTTCCACTAACTGTCTAGCCCAGGGATGTCAAACATGCGGCCTGGGGGGCGGATCAGGCTTCTATCAGGAGGGCTTCTATCAGGCCCACAGTGGAACTTCTTCCAGTTCTGCTGCTGCTGCGTCATCGTAGGTTTGCAACTTACAGATACACACCTGAACAGCATACTCAAGATTGCAACTGCACAGACATTTTGATGCAATAATTCAGAGCAAGGGTTGTCAGTTATCAGACACTGTTAAATAAACAAAATATTGCAAGAGTGCTAATGTTTTAAGCATATTTTTATTTTAAGTTAAAAAAAAACATTTGTGTTTGGGTCCTTTTAAAATTTATATCTCCGCTACCTGGCATTACCTTCTATGACACACATGGCCCAGCCCAACAAGGTCTCATTTATGTCAGATCTGGCCCTCATAACAAATTATTTCAACACCCGTGGTCTAGCCTCTTCTGGCAAACCTAAACCCCCCAGTTCTGGAGACTGTGAACAACATAATTCAGCAAGTGTTGACACTTAGATGTTAAGTTCTGATTTCTGAACTTTTACCCAAATGTGTTGGTGTACAGTAAAGGCTAGGAGTTGTGTCCTTTCGCTTCTCAAGTGACCTGTCTGTTTCCCTCAGACTGACACACACACACTCCTCCTGACTAGCAACCAATGTTCCCTCTAAGCTGTAGAGTCTTGTGAGCAAAAATTCTACTTTGTGAGCTACTGGCATTAAAGATGTGAGCGAGTGATTTGGCTACTGCATAAATTAGTTTGCTCTGGGACGAAGACAAACATGTGTGAGCCAGAGGCTAAAAAACTGTGAGCTTAGGGGGAACTGTCATCTTAGAGGGAACACTGCTGGCAACTGCTAAGTCAAAATCCAAAAGATGACTGACTCACTCCCACAAGACTAACAAGATTTTATAAAACTGTCCTCAGCTAGCGCTGACCAATCAGAGAGATGGGGGTGCGCACAGGCAGCAGCCTGTCAGTCAAAGTGCTTTAACCCCTAATCTCCCAGGTGTCTGAGTGTGATACCCTAAGCATCCTGCTTTTGGAGGTCAGTTCATCACAGACTTCCTTTTCCTCTTTCTCTCAGCCATGGCTTGCCACAGCTTGCCACATCTGAGAGAAAGGGGGTGGGGATTGCCTGGGAAGTGTTAAATGGCTGCCTGCCATTTAACCATTTGATTTTGCTCTCTGCCGGTTCAAAGCAGGGGAGCAAAACCAAAGGGTTAAATGGCTTGCAGCCATTTAAACCTAACCACTGAGCAGGTTATCCACTAGCAGCCATTTAAATTCTCCGGTTTTGCTTCCACCCCTTCAAAGGGGGAGCAAAACCGAAGGATTTAATGGCTCACAGCCATTTAAACCTAAGCACTGTTTGGCGGACCCCGTGCTGCTCAGCTGTTAGGTTTAAATGGCTGGACCCAAACAGGTGAACTGGCCAAAAGTCTAGTAAATGTTCAGGGAAGTTGCCTTTCCTGAACATTGGTTCCTGAGCTCTGAACCGGCCCAAGTTCAGCATGAATTTGGTTGGTGAGCTGGTTCGTGCCCATCCCTATTGCAACCTGAGGCCCTATGTCTCCATGGAATATCCAGTGACCTGCTCCTCTTTGGGCCTTTTGGCACAGACCTTACTTTGACTTGTGATGATAGTCATCTGTGTGCAGAACCCAATGAAATAGTGCCCAAAGGACTGACAGGAAGCTTTAAGAAGCTAGCTTATGATATGAAGCAGCTTTTACAAAGACAGCTTTTATGCTGTGTGATAAATTATTTTGTAATAATTCTAATCTCAAAAAAAGATATTGCAGAGCTGGAGAAAGTCCCAAACAGAGTAACCCAGATGTTTAAGGGGTTGAGGCACCTTTCCTATGAGTTAAGGCTAAAGAGTCTGGCTTTTCAGTTTAGAAAAGAAACATCTAAGGAGGTTTATAAAATTGTGCAAGAATTAGAGAGAGTGGACAGAAAGGACTTTTTCTCCATCTCCCAAAATACTAGAACTCAGGGGCATCCAGTGAAGATGATAGGAAGTGGATTCAGGACTGGCAAAAGAAAATACTTTTTAAATCAACAAGTAATTATAATGTGGGATTCAGTACCATTGGATGTAGTGATGACCAGAACACTTTAAACGCTTTAAATAATCCATGGGAATAGGATCAATTGTTACTAGCCACGATGACTAATGACTACCTCCATATCAAGAATAAGCAGTGTTAGGAGGCAATATCAGGGGATTGCCTTGGCCTTTATGTCCTGTTGTTGGCCTCCAGATTAACTGCTTGGCCACTATGTGACACAAGACGTTGGATCAGATGTACCACTGGTCTGATCCAGCAGGGCTCTTCTTGTGTTCTTAAGGGCATTTCCCATATTCCCACGAACCCTATTTTATGGTTTTATTTTTGTTTTGGTTTTTTGCTGCCTTGTTCCTCCTGTAGTCCTTCCTTCCTTCTCCATTTTTTTCATTGTAATGGTGTCCAAAGTTTCCTAACCTTACCTTTTGGGTTCATTTGTGTATGTCAACATGGGAGAATCTTTTCTTTAGGACTTTCCAATATGATGTCTGATGGTGAATTTCTGCGAACGAGCTGTGGGTCACCCAACTATGCAGCACCTGAAGTTATCTCCGGAAGGTAGGACATGGATGCCCTTAAAAAACAGACAAACCAAAGACATGGTTTTGAAATAGAGATTTACTCCAGTGGTTGAGAAACTTGTGGTCATGAATGTAGTCAGACAGTATTCTCTTAGCAGCTTCCTAAGCTGCCGGATGTATAATCAATCATCAATAAACAGTAGAACAAAAAGTATTTAGGGGAGATTCCAAGAGTTGACTAGAGTGCAGATTATGATTTATCCTGGCCATTCCAGGAACTCTTTTTTTCAAGTCACTGCACGAAGGCATAGATAGAGACTGGGCATATCTTGATAGCAAATATCTATAAGAACTTGAGTGGCGAAGAATGTGTTGGAGACAACTGGAGAATGTGAGATGAGATCAAAAGGAAGATGTCCAGGGAAGTCCAGAATGATGGACAGACTGTGAACAAGAGCAGGGTGGATGCTGCAGTAAACAGCTACTCTTTAAAATGTCATTTTGAGGAAGGATGGGTGTTTACCCTCTTGCTCTTCCAGAGATCCCAGGAGAGCTTGGGGGCTTCATGCACATGATCTTAAGAAACAATGTCCTCCTTTTGTTCAGGTTGTATGCTGGTCCAGAGGTTGATATCTGGAGTTGTGGTGTAATTCTCTATGCTCTTCTCTGTGGGACTCTTCCTTTTGATGATGAGCATGTCCCAACACTCTTTAAAAAAATCCGTGGAGGTGTCTTTTACATTCCTGAATACCTCAACCGTTCAGTTGCTACCTTAGTTATGCATATGCTACAGGTTGACCCACTCAAACGAGCAACCATCAAGGACATACGGTAAGTTTTGGTGTCAGAATTGCTACCAATAACATTTTTTTCCTTGTGGAAATGGTGAACAGGACCACGTTAGCTGACATCCTCAAAATTTTTCAGAATTCCTCTGATGTGGGAAAAGAATTGTTAGGCTAGAGAGAAGTACAGTAGCTCTTTCCTCTATATTAAACTATTAGTTTTTCAGAGGCAAGTCCTGGGAAGAAGCAAGGTGGGCTTCACGGTACAAAATCCTAGTAATTGATGGTGTAGTGGTTAAACTGCTTAATTTCAACCAGTAAGAGTCAGGTTTCGATCACTTCTGAGCCATACAACTCAGTAGGTAACCTTGGGCCAGCATTATTTTACATGGTGGCTGTGAGGATAAGATGCTGGGGGGAGGTGGAGAGAATGGTAATGCTGCCATAAGCTCCTTGAAGAAAGGGCAGGGGGAAAATATGAAGGATAGATAGTTACTGAAATGACATTTGTGACAGTTGAATAATCAGAACTATAAATAAATCGGATTGCTTTCTATGCAAGGGTCACTACAGAACTCCTAAGCTGAAGAAGCAAATATTAACATATTTATGTGACCCAGACTACAGAATGCCTTCACAAGTAACACTAACATAATCCCCCATAGAACAAAGTTTGAGTCCAGTGTTTAAGACCAACAAAGTCTAATTCTGGGTATAAGCTTTCATGTGCATGCACACTTCATCAGAAAGCGTATACCCAGAATCAAACTTTGTTGGTCTTAAAGGTGCCACTGGACTGTACATTATTATTGGTCACATCCAGAATCTTATCAAGAACAATACTGAGGCAGTAATATAAATCACAGCCTTTAACATCACAGTGGTTTACACCAGCTGACATAATTTGTTCTGGTTTACATCAGTTGACAATGTACTTGCTGTCATTTTAGTGCTACAGTTTGACTTTCATGATGACTCATACTGGTGCTGTCATTAGATAGTCAAAGGTTTTTTCCTCCCCTTCTAGAGAACACGAATGGTTCAAACAGGAACTGCCAAGTTACTTATTCCCAGAGGATCCTTCTTATGATGCGAATGTCATTGACGATGATGCTGTGCGAGAAGTATGTGAGAAATTTGAGTGCCCTGAATCTGAGGTGATGACCAGCTTGTATAGTGGGGATCCCCAAGACCAGCTTGCGGTAGCATACCACCTTATTATTGACAATCGGAGAATCATGAACCAAGCCAGTGAGTTCTACCTCGCTTCCAGCCCTCCCACTGGCTCTTTTATGGACGACACTATGCACATCCCCCCAGGGGTGAAACCCCACCCGGAGAGGATGCCTCCTCTAGTAGCAGATAGTCCCAAAGCAAAATGTCCCTTAGATGCACTGAATACCACTAAGCCAAAACCACTGACTGTGAAAAAAGCCAAGTGGCATTTAGGAATACGGAGTCAAAGCAAGCCTTATGACATCATGGCAGAAGTCTACCGTGCTATGAAACAGCTGGATTTTGAATGGAAGGTACGGAATGCCAGTGCGTTGTGGCTGTTTATCCAGAGCACTTTTCTTGTAAATTCTCAGTGGACACTACTCGGGTCCATGACAATGTCGGATTGCGATTATTCTTTTATTACAGTCTGTGAATATTATAACATTAACTATGGTTAAATAACATACACATTTTAACTCCTGGGCTCCTCTTTCTGAGGAGCTCATTCTGCCTTACACAGCTATAGGCAGGGGTATTTTTGGGCAGGCATGCACAGGAACGGAGTTCTGGCTGGCTCCCAAGGTGGCCACGCCCAGCAGGAACGCATTAGCATAATAGGCCACACCCAACAGCAGAAACTCATTAGGATTGGCTACATTAGGGGTGTGTGGCCTAACATGCAAAGGAGTTCCTGCTACAAAAAAGCCCCGGGTTTTGACAACAAACAAGGTAAACAGAATAAGAAGCAAAAGGTGGGTGTGGTTGGATAACCACACTTCTGATAACATGGGGGGGCGGTCTAATGTGCTAATGAGCTGTGCTGTCAGGGGTGTGGCCCACTATGCTAATGAGTTCCTGTTGTTGGGTATGGCCTATTATGCTAATGAGTTCCTGCTTGGCTTTTTCTACAAAAAGAGCCCTGGCTATAGGTGTAGCAGAAACTCTTCAGATGTATAATTTTAGTAGCTAATTCCCTTCTAGAGAATTAAACTTCCTGAAAGCGCTTATTATTTGTGCATATCTACTAGGAATCATGAAGGCCAGACAAAACCATGCAACATTATCCCTCAAATCTGTCTTAAATGATGTACTTTCCAGCTGGCTCGTCTTTGTGCCACAGGATAGTTGCTTGATGCACTGTTTTAAGCAATACATAAAACAGGCTAGAGCATATTCAAGTCCCTGCATTTATTGCCACATCTGGGGAGCTAGATATTTATGAGGAAGAGTTGGTATCAGCCCAGCATTGGATTCATTTTCTTTTGTTGTTCTGATTTTGAAATGGAAGTACATATTCTGTCTTATAGACAGACATGGCAAAAGTGTGCCGAGTTTTAATTCAGGCTCATGCATCACCCTCCACACAAGCTTGCAGAGTTTATTGTGGTGTCTAAATTGGATTTTCTAACAAGTTGCTAAACCAGGTTTTACTTGTGATTTATAGTGCAGTCATATGCATGCTTACTCAAAAGGAAGTTCCATTTTTTTCAGTGGGGCTTGCTGCTGGGCAAATGTTCTTAGGGTTGCAGCCTTAGAATCCCAGCATATAGGCAAGAAATAAATTTGGTAAACCACTTCAGGCTTCACAACAAATTCTGATTTCTTTCAAATTAGGAATCCTTTGATCTCACCTCTGTGTGTGATGGGGAAAGAAAGCACAAGACCCCTGGGATATACCGGGCTCGTTCTTGCCACAAATACACTAGACCTTGGATGTAGTCATGCTTGACATTCATTGAATACCATCCTGAGGCCCCTCCCCTCCCCAAACCCCACCCTCTCCCAGATCCACCCCCAGAGTCTCCAGGTATTTTCCAACCCAGACCTGGCAACCCCATCTGTGACTGGTATGCATTTTTGAAAATGAAGAACATCTGCCTATATTCATTTAATGGAGTAATTTGTAAAAAGCAACGTGAGCAGCTGTGAACAATGGACAATGTGAGACGCTGATGCCTTTCCCTCTAATTGTGCATAGATCTACTTGGGATTTAGACAGTGATATGCTAGGCATTGGGAACACCCAGTAGCTTGGTATACCCATCATTCCTATAGTAGCTGAGTGGCATGGTGAGTGTCTAAAAATCAAACATGAACTGTGAGACACAGCCCTGACATGGGAAAGAATACCATACTCTCTTTTATGTCCTATATTATATATTTTAATCTAAGGCACAATGAGTTCCCAAGTAATATTTTAGAGTCTAGTAAGCTAATATTTGCTGCTTTGAAAACTGGGCACAAATACAGTTGAGAACAATTTTTATTTGTTTGTTTGTTGAATCATTTAACTTCATGTGGACTAGCAAAGTGCAGAGCGAGGGGGGATAAGCGGGAATAATTGATTGTTACAGAACGGACCTAAAATGTCACCAGTGTAGAGAGGCTAGACACTGGTTTCTTGAAGTCTATAAATGTGGACTAAAAATGTTGGGGACTAAGAAATGGCAGAAATTATTGTGTCAGAAAAATAAAATATACTTCCAAGTATGCTAACTAAAGAGCTTTTGAAAATTAGTCTCAATGTTTTTTTCAGCTAGGACACGTGACAGTATGTAAAGTACAGTCTTGCAGCATTCTGTTCTCGAAATGTGTAATACTAATGCATAAATAAAAGGCTGCTGTTTCTCTTATGCCAAAATTCCATTGTCCCTTAAAGCCAGTTACATGTTTTAGGTGGTGAATGCCTATCATCTTAGAGTCCGTCGGAAGAATCCAGTAACGGGAAATTATGTGAAAATGAGTTTGCAGCTTTATCAGGTTGACAATCGCAGCTATCTTTTGGACTTTAAGAGCATTGATGGTAAGCAGGTTTCTGGAGAGGCAGCATATGAATTTTCTCAATAAATAAAGAGAAGGGAATGTTGTGACACAAAATCAAGAGATTTGTTTTGAACAATTTTACCATCTCTTCCCTCTGTCTGTGACACAAAATCAAGAGATTTGTTTTGTGTTGAACAATTTTACCATCTCTTCCTTCTGCCATCACACAGCTGTTTTATGGGTTTTGTTCTCAAAATAGCGCTTAAATCTATTTATTATCTGATGTTATCTGAGAGTTTAAGAACTTAGTGTTTAAAAATATGCTCCTACTGTCCCTATTTACCAGGGACAGTCCCTATTGCCTGGGAACTTCTGCTAAATCTTGATCCCTGTTTTGCCCCATTGTCATCAGGGGAGGAGGGGAATGCCTTGTTAAAATGTCATTAGTGGGGTTTGCTAGGGTTCAAGTTCAGCTTTCTCTCCAGGATTTACCTACCTCAGTAAGTTAGGTCTGTGACTGGCATGTGATGCATCTTGGCTGATGCACATGCATTTACATGGATCTGCATGACCACTGTGACACAACACATACTGCTCAGGCAGCTATTTCACATGCACGTGGGGCTAATTTTGAGCAATCATTAACAAATTTTGGAGCCTTGCTGTTTCTAGCATATCTTCATCCTTTAAACACCTTCTTGGACATTTCCTGCCCCCTTCTTTGTTTGATGGATTGTAAATGTTAACTATTAAAAAAAATTAATTGGAAGAAGCATGCAACAGAAAGAGTAGACTTCTGAACAGTGTACAATGAGGATGCCTTCTGTTCATGAGACAACTTGCAATATAACAACAATATCCCAGTTTTGGCTTATGAAATGCTGGAACTATGGAATCCACCTTCTGGGAAGACTGACAGTAATTTGGAAGCAGATGATAATTTTGGTAACTTTATTGTAGACCATTTTAGCACTCCTATCTAATATTAGACTTTTTCAGCATTGCATTTTCTTTTCCCCCTCGAAGAGTCCATTTATGATTTTTACTGCTTCAGCTGAACCAGAATAAACCTTTTCCATTTCAATGTCATGTGTATTGTGGTCAAGTATTTTTCACCTCTTTTCTTTTTAAAATGTTGGGGGGCAGGATGTTCAAGAACTGGAAGAATGCAGAGAAACGCTGTGGATTTCCATGCTGTTTGCTTAACTTTACCCCCAAAAAAGCAAATTTTGTTCACTAGGCAATCAAATTGCAACATGAAAATCAAAATTCACAGCAGTTCACCTCACTAACAGTGCGTTGTTTTTATTGTCATTAATATCTTATGTCACAGTACCCAGAAGTTACATAGGGTTAGATCCCCTGGAGATATTCCACGGGCAGAAGGATTTCCACTCATGAAGCACAACTTCCTCTCCTCGCTTTCCCATGGCAGCCTGAAATACCCAGGGTGCTGACAGGGTGGGACTGGGGGAACAAAATTGGGAGGCCCATGTCAGCTGGAGAGCCCTTGAAGCCAGCCTCATGCATAAGCCAGCCGAATGTCTTTCTGTTTATTTAATACAACTCTGGCTGCAGCCACTAGGGAGACAGGAAAGTCTGAGCACAGTAAGAGGCACTCTACAATTGACTACACTCGTCTTTTCCCAAGACTGAAGCAAACTTGCATAACAAATCATGCTAGCATGATTATCAACCAAGCCAGCAGTGGAGCAAGATAAGACAGCATGCTGATGGCTGGTAACAGTAACTGCCAGCCTGCAGGTCATTTTTCCCAATAGTCTAGCCTGTCTTTCTTCCTTTCCTTGCACCCAGCTCAGCCACATCTTGCAAAGCAATAGTCAGGGTGTTGCAGCAAGGTAAAACAAACTTTCCCTTTTTAAATATTTCTCTCCCTCTTTTCCACAGTTTCCTCCACCTAATTATTCTGTCTCCCCCCCACCCCCATTTATTTTCAATTCTTAGTCTCAAATCTTTCTCATCCCCATCCTGCTTGGCAATGGCAACAGAATGTACTTAATAGTACAGTAGCAAACCTTTGTTAATATTATGAACAGAGGGGGGTGTTAATATTTTCCCATGATCTAACAACGTAGTAAAAGGATGCTTCCTCCACACTTTACGTGCATGGTAATGGGACATTAATCTGTTTTAGTGGTGTGGAACAGAAGTTAGAACTCTCAGTTCAGGCACTGGGTTGTTGTTGTTATTGTTGTTATTTTGGAAGATCGAATAGCCCTTTGTAAAGACTAGCTTGCTATATGTCAGCTGATATAATCTTTTTAGTATCACTAAAATTAGTTTTATAATAAATAATACTATATCCAGTCTTTGACCCCAGTGTGTCCTAAAATGTCATTGTTCTCCTGTCCTCCATTTATCCTCAGAACAACCTTGTGAGGTAGGTCTGGCTGAGAATGTGTCACCCAGCAACCTTCCATGGCAAGTTGGGGATCTGAATATTAGAGACCCATCACAGGTTGCTTATTACATGTTGCCCATTGTGAAGATAACATGGTTCAGAGTGTTCCAGTTCCCTTAATTTTTGGCACTGTAATTCCCATCATCATCCTGGGGTTGGTGGTCAGTTTTCAGACATGTAACATCATTTTCTGAGTTATGCCTGCCACAGATTGCAAAAAAGCATGGGGTGATTGTGGTTTGTCTCATCTGGCCAGGAATTTTTCCATGCCTTTCCATTTTGGCCATGGAACTCCCACATCCGTTCTGAAGCTGGTGGTCAATTTTGAGTCTCCTAGCTTTATTCTCTGATGATTTATGTCTGCTGCATGGTGTAGTGGTTAAAATGTTGGGCTAGGATCTAGGAAACCCAGGTTCAAATCTCAGCTCTGCAATGGAAGCTTGCTGGGTGACCTTAGGCCAGTCACATACCCAGGGTGGTTGTGAGGATAAAATGGAGGAGAGGAGAAACATGTAAATTGCCTTGGGTTCCCATTGGGGAGAAAGGCATGATATAAATAAAGTAAATAAATAAATAAATAAAAGAGGGACAGACAGGCCTATTCTTTTATTACTATAGATCAGGGGTCCCCAACTTTTTGAGCTTGTAGTCATACTTGGAATTCTGACATGGCATGGTGGGCACAGCCACAAAATGGCTGTCACAAAATGGTTGCTGCGGGAGGCGGAGCCAGCCACAAAACGATTGCCACATGTTAACTTCAGTAGCACAGTGGAGATCGTTGTGCTGTGGTTGCAACTGCTGCCAAAGCAACATCAGCTCAGCCAATAAAATCTCCAGTAGTCAATCAAAAAGCTTGCTGGGCAAAAGTAGTACCTGCCCCCCCCACTTCCTAAAAACACTCGATGGGCACCATGGGCACCAAGTTAGGGACCTCTGCTATAGATTCATGGTAACAGAAAGCCAAGTGATTTTTTTTTTGTTCTGATATTTTGTTTGGTCATATGGAGGGGCCCCAGTAGAATTCTTTTCTGGGGGCCCGTGGTGGCTCTTGTCAACTCTGGAAATACCCTCCTTGGTCTTGTTCCCAGGGACAAGATTTCAGGGGGCATTTCAGGCAAGACAAGGAAGTTGCTCTAGAATGGGCTCTAAGACAAGATCAGGACAAGGCTAAAAGAGGGGGTTGGGCTTGAAGAGAATAGGGAATGGAGTGAGAGTAAACTAGAAAGGAACAGAAAAGGAATTACTAGAGTAGTTTAGTAAAGATTTGCAGAGATAATACGGTTTGAAGGAGAAAATGGTATGATACGCTTAGCTGAACAGGAACAAGCTTGAATTCTCTGGGGTCATGTGTTCACTTTTCCCATTCTTCCTCCGTGTGCAGACCTAAAAATCAAAGGCCTCCTAGTTTAGGAAGTCTGAGATCTAACCACAGTTTATATGATACGTAAATTCAGGCGCTTCAACAAGCTGGAGTTAGTTTCTTGCCCACAAATTTAGAATCCTTATTTGTTGGAAAGGAACAACCCCCTATTTGTTAAAGTGCCTGAATATGGACATAACAACAAATTGTGTTTAGCTTGATAGTTTCTTAAACTAGGAAGTCTTCCGTCTCATTTCTGTATACGATGGCAGGAGAAAAAGTAAAGGAGGGCAATAAAATGCGAGCCCAAGCATTTGCTTGTTTACATTATAGATAAATGTAGTCAGTTTGTGTGGTTTGAATACATCATAAAGCCCAACCTAAGAAAACATGCCTAGGAGTAAGCTCCATTGAATAGACTTGAGTAAGAGTGCGCCCTGACTTGCTTAGGATTGTTCTCTTAATGCTCCTTCTCATGTTATTCATGTGGCATAAGAAATGCTGCAACATGACGTTATCCTGATCTGCCAAGTTAACATAGAAACCAAAGATGGACTCCCCCCTACAGAGCCTGAGACTCTGTAACATGAGAAAGGACTTTAAATCTATCAAAGTCATATCCACTCTTTCAAACCTCAGTTAGGGGGAGCTATTGCTGGTAGAGGAATGGTCAGGAGCGGGAGACAGGAACAGAAGGGGTATCAGCCTAATGCCAATGTGACAAGATATTTTAATGTCATCTGTTTATGCCTTTAAAGATGATGTCATGGAGCAAAGATCAGGCTCTTCCACACCTCAGCGCTCATGCTCTGCAGCTCGTTTGCACAGACCAAGACTGAGTTTTGATTCTGCCACTGCTGACTGCCAGTCGCTCCCAGGATCCCTCACTAGCTCCTTGACTGGGAGCATGCCCTCTGTAACGCCACGTCTGGGTAGCCACACCATGGATTTCTTTGAAATGTGTGCCAGTCTCATCATGGCGCTTGCTCGCTGAAAGGTATAGTTAAGAAGCTTGATTTCTTTGGGTAGAGTCAGGCCTTTGTGAAATGTGCACAGAAGAACAATTTTGCACATCAGTGGCAAAGGAAATCCTAATTCTGAAAGTAGAAATATTTTCTGTAGTCAGAATGTATTATGTATATTATGGGAAATATGCAGATATGGCTCCATTCATGTAATTCTAGTAGTAGAGCTTGCCTTGTTTTTGCAGGGAGTTTGGAATGTTTCTGTTGGATGGTGAATATGCTAGAAGAGATGGTGCCGTGGAGTGATTGGCAGTCTTAGGAAAGAAGGATCAGGGCGCTATCCAGCTACTGGTAGCTGATGAAGATATTCCTTTGCCATTCCCAAATTAGAGTCTACAGAAAATGAAACAGCTGCCAAAATATAAACATGCGTGCTATTGCTGAATCCACAGTGCCCCTGACATTGTGTATATATCAGTGCAATAATGTTCCTGAAGACTTGATTATTCCTTCAAATGAATCAGTAAATTTATTTGATTTCAGTAAGCACATATTCAGTAAGCTCCATCGGAAGTGCACTTTTTGCATATTTGAAGCCCTGGTAGCAGATATTTGCAAGTTTAGTCCCAAGAATCTTCAGTTTGAAACCTTTTATTGGCAGGCCTGGCAGTCTGTTGTAATGCAACTTTTTTCTTTGTTAGAGTGCTTTTGGAATGGTGCAATTTTAAGAGCACTTTCCTAGGATTAAGCGCCATTGAATAAAATGGGATTTATTTAAAGTAGGCCTTCTTAGTATTAAGTGATCTGCTGCAGTCTAAAGTTATCCTTCCATAGGGTCAATTCCTCCAAAAACCCACTTCTGTGGAAAATACAGCACATCAAAAAATACTAAGAGGGATCCACCCTCCATTTTCTGACACAGTGGAAAGCTGATCACTGTGGCTGAAGGCACTAGGTTACTCATGATAAGGCAGTTTTCCCAAAGCCTTATTATGCTATGGTGAAATCAGAGTGACTTTTTCCTAATGGCAGCAAGCAAGGAATGATGCACAAGTTATGGAATACCAGGTGCACCAAAAAAAGTCTGTTATTTCCAGTCCTTTCCCAAGTGCTACACATGTAACAGAATTTTGATTACTGCTGGAGTGTTTGGTTACCATATTTGGTCTTATTCCAGTGGAAAGTTTCAGATCTTTGAACTGAAGAGTTAAAAAGAAATGGAGGAGTACCTTCTCTTACTAAAGTTTGCCTATAATAACCAGTAGCAGCAGCACAGATCAGGCATACATGGATGGCTGCAGGAGTTGCAGGATGATACTTGTCGGTCTTCTTTGCCACACCTCCCAGGCATAGCCTGTGCTTGTAATGCATGGACTGGGCCCATGTTTGCTGCTCCATAGTGACAGCGGAGGCCCAGGCCCAGTAACGCTCCCTGCAATCTCATCAAGAAATCAGCAATCACTTGAGTACTTAACAAGCCTTTTGTGGGATGGTAGCAGCACAGGGTTATTGGCTCATTTCGTAAACATCCCATGGTAACATTTTCACAGTTTAATTAAAGTTTTGCATTAAGGAGTTTATGTTTCCTCTAAAGGGAATTTTTTTCCTACTGCAGCCTTTCATCATAACTGCTTTGTGCTCACAGCTGTTCATTGGCCTGGGCTTGTTAAGCTCAGACCACCTACTAGCGCTCATAAGCCATACTCAGACTGCTCTTAATCACATTATTAGTCCTCCATCAATCATGGCAGGCCATGTTTTGTACTGAATATATCCAAGTGCAACTATTTAAATAATAAATTAATAACCCCTTGGCTACTGAAGATCAGAAATCCTGTTACTGTCCATTAATGGGAGGGTGGGAAGAAGATTATATTGTTCCTCCAGTTCAGAAAGTAACTCACAACCTGCACAAAGCAAAAGAATTGCAGGGAAGCCAAGGTTATTTCAAGGGACATGAGGGTAATGGAGGCAGTTAGAAAGACTAAAGGAGTAGAAAAGAACTTGCTTGGTTTTCCCAGAGCTATGAATTAAATGAGTTTGTTCTTCTTTATCTCTTCAGTTGTATTGTCCTCTCTTTTACTTTCTGATTCCCGTCATGTCATGTGTCACCATTTCTTCATTCACATTTTTTGCTTACAAGGAGCTTGTAGATCCGCTAACATCTACTAAAGCTAATAAGATAATGCATTTCATATTTTCCTCTCCTCATCCCAAACTCATTTCTTTTTTCACCTTTTTAGAATATGTTTGATTTTTTAAATCCTGTCCTTTCTCCAGGGAGCTCAGGACTCCATACATGGTTCCCTTCCACCCTCCCCATTATCCTAAAGCCCTCATGAAGTAGACGAGGCCGAAGGTCACACATTGTCACAGCAGTGTATGGATCTGGAATTGAGTCTCATCCAACACTCTGTTACCGGACAATGGACGGGGTTGTATTATGGACACTTCACCTTCACTTTCTCCTCTTCCCAGAGATCCAGAAATATTTGACAGTTAAAACTAGACTTCAAGGGACTGCACTAGGACTAGGTTTGCATCATGAATGTTTTCTAAGAGTAACATGAGTCCTTCTCAAAATGTCAGTCATAGGTCCACTGATTAGCCGTTCAGGGTATGCTTTTTCATAAAGTGGTATACTATTGACACTTTGAAATAATGTCAGTCATAGGTCCACTGATTAGCCATTCATGAAGTGGTATATTATTGACCCTTTGAAGTAATAATTGTAAAAACATTGGCCTGCTGCCCTGCTGAAGGTACCGGAGACTTCAATGAAAGCCACATCACACCATCATTCTGTCTGTCTAACTCTGTAAGCCGTAGAAGTTCAAGGTAACCTCTCCACCCAAACTGAATGTGAGTTTCCAATACAGAGGAGGTTGCACATGGTCAAGTTGCCATTTAGATTGTCCAAAATATATAACAAAAAAGGCAGCCTTGGCAGAGTCATGTGTGTTTCTTATGCATTCAGATTAATGCCTTTGAGGTCAAGGGTTAGGGTTCAGTGAGCTTTGCATTTCAGTTCAAATAATCTTCCAGAAACTGAGTCTCTGGCAATTATTTCCTCACTGACAGGACAGGAGCCAAATTTACCTTTCTGACAGAAGAGGAGATAGCACACAGAACGGATTCTATTTCATTGAAGCTGGAACATAAATTTGACAATGCTGGTCCAGGCTACAGGGTTTTCCTGTACCTATAAACCTTAATTGATTGTGACCTTCACCAGTATACTGATAAAGCAGGGATAATGTCTGTTCCATTGTTCTTTTTGTAAATGTTCTCTGAAGGAATCAGGTTTACTTATATTTCCAACAGCATCAGAATTTAAAATTATTTTATGAAAGGGCAGCTTGTGTGGATAGTGTACTTATTAGTTAATGATGTTGGGTTAATATAATTGTCTTTTTGTTTAACAATGAGGTTTAATTAATTGTTGCCTGATAGAAGGGGGGAAACAGGCTGAAGTCAAGGCAAGGTGAACAAAATTATGACTGAGCAGAAAACAGTCACCATTTGCTGAAGCTTTCGGTAAGGCCTTCTTCATTAAAACATTGCCATTTTAAAGATATTTGGCACACTGTTCTCCTATAGAAAGAACAAAACTAGTGTATTTCATGTTTCTTCTGAGCTATCACTATTTTCCCCATGCCAGATAGAGAGTTTTATGTCATATTTGTTTGTGTTCCTCAACAGTTTGAAAAAACCCTAAAGTAGGCATGCCACGCCTGAGGAGCAAAACAGCACCGTCAGGTTGTCTATCAAGAACAGAATTTAAAGAAAAAACAAAAGCAAGATTAGTTGCTCAGTTAAAACCATCTGATTTGCTGTTACCAGTAATGCTAAAGTGGTATCTCATAATCTTTAACATACCAGAAAAAACTGCCTGAAACATAACGAGCAACAAGTTTCTTTTGACCACTTGTAACTCTACCTGCAGGACAGGTCTAAAGTGTTAACTTCTGTGTTAGGTTTTAGCACTTAAGTTGCACTTTGCCTCTTTTAGAGGTAACACGCTAATGAGAAAAATAAAAAGATATTCACAATAATGCCTGTTAAGTGGTTAACACTTTTTAAGAGCCCTGCAGACTGGAAGGTTCTTACGTGTAGCTTTAGTGATCTGTCCAAATGGCTGGAGGCCATCACAAACGATGAAAGCTCAGTTTGTACGCTGAGCTGCCCATGTGGGTTTGTTATCCTTCATGACTTTCTATACATTGTGGAACAAATATTTAATAGTAGAATTTAGAAATGTCTAGCCATCATGTATTTAAACATCTGCCAAAATGGAATCTTTTAAACAGACCTTTGACTTCAGAATTTCATCAGAGAGTTTATAGCATTCATAGTACAGGTTCCGATAGCCATCACCTATATTTTGTTCCAGTATGAGGGTTCGAACAAGCAGGACGGGCTTGAAGTCAAAGTGTAATTTTCAGCCACTGTTTCCTTATTGGCATGCTGCAATATAGAGGTCATAAAAGAAGTCCTGGCTTTGAAAAGATTTAAGATGACACAGTGAGTGGTCTGGTCATCATTGGGGGGTGGGGAACATTCATTATGGCTCATAACATGATCCTGTAGGCCTTTATGCAGGTTTCAAGCAGGGACCCTGCCACTGGAAGCAGGGACCCTGCCACTGGAAGGAAAACAGTACCAAAACAGTCATTGGTGCATCTTTAGTAGAATCATGGTATGTTCTGTTACAGGTTTATATAGTTAAATTTACAGCTGTAGCTTAGTGACAATTTGTTGCTCATATCAGTGGTAATATATTGATTCAAGAAAAAGCCTGGCCTGTACTAGAGAAACTAAAATTGTGCCTTCAGTTTGCATCAACTGCTCATAGTCCCAAAAGCTTTATTTCCATTATTTCCACAACTACTGTGCAGCATACAGTAACCCATAAACAGGAATTCTCTGCAAAATTTGAAGGGCTTGCTATGTTCTTACTTTGCCTTAACATTAAAATTTGTATGGAACAAAAAATCATCTTTCAGTAGATAGATGGCTGATGCCACAGGTTGCAGTTGTATCAAGGGTAAATTTACAAGGCATTCATCCTGCATTTTCCCAACTAAAATTACATGCTGCTTTCTGTTCCTCTCCTTTTCCCAGCCCTATGCTAAACAGTATATGGTCACTTTGGGGCTTGGTTTTATTCCCCAGTATTTCATCCATAATTGTTTCCTATCACCACAATCCAGAGCTTTCAGATGTCTTTCTATTAAAAACAGTATGTTCCCATTCAGAACCTATGCCCAGGCTGCGTGGTTGAGGCTGTGCTCATGCTGCACACCCCATCCATTTCATAAGATAGCAGTTCCACAGGCACTATCCTTTGCACTTAAAGAATTTGTGCATAGGAGTTTCATATTTACACAGCACTGGATCACATAGTAGACTATGACCACAATGAGACAAGCAGACAGTATATTTAGAAATAAGGGGGTGGTGAATGCTCTTACGTCTTCTCTTTGGCATTTTCTCTACAGTAACTCCCATGTCAGAAAAAGCAAGCCACTTTCAGCTGAAGAGGTGTCTTGCCTCTTCAAAAGTGAGAGCTGCTTTGGATACAGATCCAAAAATAAGTTGCAGCTGTGCACACAGGTTTTAATTTGCATGCAAGTAACCCTGGATCATCCCAGACCCGAGTTGTTCATAAGCCATGCTGTAATTGCAATACATTTATTATTATGAAAGTTCAAAGGTAACTGAAAAAGCAGCCATTCAAACCACTAGTAAATGCAGTTTTCTGTGCATTTAGACAGCAATATGTCTTTATATACAAGTTTAATGGACAAGGAACCTGGTAATCAGCTAAGATATTCTACCCTTTTGCTATGTTGTCACATTTATGCTTGATTCTCAAATGCCTTGAATCTCCCGTTGAAGCTGCCTTACTTGATCAAACTTGTTTATGTAATTGCATTTATTTGAAGACTCCTCATGTTCCACTATGCATTTGCTTTTCTTCAATGGTTGAATGTAGTTTATTTATCCTCATATCCCAAAGTTCTGACACAGCTACCATAAATACACCAGTATTTATTCTTGTTGCTGGAAGTGAAGTCACTTTGTATTGTTTTTCACAAATGGATGTTTTGTAAATCTAGCAGTATTTTTCTTTCGTGTGCAAAACAAAGCTGAAAGCCACATGATCACAGCTATGACCTTGAAAACTACTGTAATTTGTTGAATTAATAGTCTCACCCATCTATGCCCCAAAGAAGTTTAAGACGGCTGTATATTTGTATTTCCTGTTACTTAATAATGGAGCAATCTACGTTATGTAAATTACTACGCCAGCAGGTGGAGGTGAAATACAATGTTTTGCAGACTGTGTCATAAAAATGCTTTCAGATTAAGCTTCAATTTTAGGTTTATAGAAAGGCAACACAGGACTATTTTTAAGTAATTGCTGCTTTATTTGTATCAGCAGCATTTGGAAAAGGTATACTCCTTTAAATTGGTTTTATGCATAAAATGAAGGCTAAATAACTGCAAGCCAGATTGTAATTTACCTATTTGTGTTGAAAAGGTTTGTTTTACACTGTATGTGCTGGTTGTTTCATGAATAACATTTGCTCTTCAGCAAAAATAAACAAATTATAACATTATGAGATTTCAAATGCTAAGGCTACCACTATGATCTTATATTTTAGAAACTTTCACACATACACATGGATTCAGATTTTAAGGATATGGAGGCAGCTTTGTTAGCTACAGGCAGTGCTGAAAGATGTAGTGAGAGTTTCCAGGGAACTGACATTAAATAGCAAAAAGGTTAATAAGTCACATGGTGGCACGGTTATGTCAGCTATAACCCCACAATGCCCAAATCCAAGTCACATAAACGTTGAAATGAAGGACAGCACAAAAGAGATTTCATTCTACCACATAATCATGTCTCTTTCCCAACACTCCCTCTTTAAAAACACTAATGTACGGGACTTTGTAATTTTTTTCAAAAAGTCAATGATACAGGCAAATGCCAGTTTGATACCACCTTCAAGGAAGTATTTTGAATTATCCATCATTAACATTGAGAGCATTCCATTAAAAAAAAGGAAGTTGGAGCATCTTTTCAAAGCTGTTAGGAGTTGATTGGACACAAATTTACATTTCTTCAATAATCATTAGTGATTCTGTATTATATAATGTTTCTTCCTGAGATCATAGAGGGACATTAATTATAGCAGCAACCACACAAAGCTTTTGCAAGTAAACATGTAAGTCAACATACTAATCTAATATGTAGCTAGAGTTATGTAACAGAAGTACATGTATCAGTACTTAAAATGTAAGTCAAGTGTTTGTTCACGGTTCTTTTTATTGAAATTTTTCCTCATGATATATTCGACTAGTGTCATTTCTAAGACAAAATTTTCCTGAGGAAATAATATTTTTTAACAATGATTGACTAGCTTCAGTATTTGCTCCTGTTAATGTAACATATACTTGTGCTTATCATCATCCAACTTGGGAAAAGGTACTTCTTGGGCTTGCTTTTTCCAGTGCATTAGTTTTACTGCCTGTTTTTTCAGTGATAGAGGTCACATGACAATTCCATAATGCTCATATCATCATTGTGTGTGGTATCTGGAAGATTTATTATGTGTACCAAAACTGAGATACAAATCTTTAAGTCTGGAGAAAACCATTCCCTTGCGTGCTTCTATATCATAGACCCATTATTTACCATTAACCTCTTTTGAAATTGACCAGAACTACATTCAAAGTCCTTCATGAATTTTAACGAGTTACAAAAAGGCAAATCAGGAGAATGCTTAGAACAATGCTGACCTACTAATTTATATTCAGAATGTACATTTAGCTTTAGCAACTTGAAAAATGATTAAATGCCACTTCACAATTAATTCTCTTTACATCTGCATTTTAAACCTCTCCAATATATACATGTCCAGTATTACACATCAACAAGACAAATTCCTGTACACATAAAAGTTGAGGCAGTGATACAGAGAACTACAAGAAGGTTCCTACAAATCCATGGTGATTTTTCTGGTTTCCCCTCATGATAGCAGCCACCCAAACCCGGGAAAGTTCAGGGGACCATCCAGTAAAGTATGACATACATGAAGAGCTGTGGTTGGCGAAACTTCTGGTTGAGTCCTCTGTGCATTCAAAATTGCTTTAGCTGTGTACGCGGGGAATTAAATCCTAGCTGCTATCCAGAATTCATCAAGCTGCATATAATATAGTACAAATTTGAAGCACTTGAGCTGAATTCCATGGTAAACAGTCATTCAAACAAGAGACCGTTGGGCTACTGAAAAATTCAAATTTCTCACAGCATTTAGTAGCAACCTAAATGCTATCGCTCAGTGCTACTGCACACTAAGAAGCTTCTTATTGCTGCTTGTTTCCAGCGTTTGTTTCCTATGAAGTCACATGTAGATAGATGTATGCCTGAAGCACATCTCACATTAATTACTGTTTTAGGAGAGAACACACAAAACATATTTACTGAAACATCATGAATGGCTATGTACAGTCACAAAGAAGTTCAGACTAACTGAAAGACATCCGCAAAAGGATACATTGAAGCAACCACTAACCATCTAGAAAGGGAGATGCTACTCCCATGGCACAGCAGCTGAAACATCTCCTAGCTGCAAACACGGCATTCATGTAGCCAAGGGTACTGGCAAAATTTAACCTGTATCTCTCACTACTCCTGAACTGTGTCCATTTTTCTCAGTGTTTTCATGCAGTGAACCCTACCACACAGTATGGTAGGGGACCACAAAAGGAGAGAAGGACAGGATTACAATTTCACATTTGGATGGCCTCATCAGACATCAATAAAGTGTTATCTTCTTTACATGCAAAAATGTTTATGCAATAGATATTACGAGTAGGGGCCCATTAGACTCACAGGGGGATCCCATCTTCCTCCCCACTCGGTCACCAAGCCCAGCGTGGAGCCTCAGGCTGCCCAGAGCAGTTCCGAGCGAGCCAGCAGAGACTGCCCCCCACTACTCTCTGCAGTTTGCCTGGTGCAGCTCTGGGTGAGGCAGCACAGTCACCCCCCCACCAGTTCTCTGCAGCTCACTGGAGAGTTGGAGGGGTAACTGTGCTAGCTCATCTGGGGCTGCTCAGAGTGAGCCAACAGACACTTCCCCCCATCAACTTTCACACAGGGCCCAGGGCAACCCAGGAGTTTCACTGCTTGGCGACCACTGGGTCTAGCAGGGCCCCTCAGCTGTGCTGCTTGCCCCAGCATGGCTCCCTGGTGCAGCTACTGCTACTGCTGGGCCCAGCTGCAGTGGTGCAGCCCAGGAGCCCTGATGGGCAACGGACAGGTTTGTGCCACTGCTGGTGGAATTCCCTTTGTGGCTTCAGGGCTATGCCACTTCCCGGCCTAGCAGGGCTCCTGGGCTGTGCCACCACTGCCACCAGGCCCACTGTGGAGCCTTCGGCTGTGCTGCTCCTGACCCCAGCACGGCTCCCGGCCTCCTTCAACTGCCAAAGGTAAGTGCATTCTCTGTGCTTGCGCAGAGAACACTTTTTATTTGGGGGGGATTTAACCCCGCTGTGTATTTTTTTAAAAAGTTTCAGATTTTTCTGCGTTTCTAGGGAGCCCCCCAAGTGTGCAGAAAGATATATTTAGCTTTCGTGTGGCTGCAATCTGCATATTTAGACATTTGCAGATCGCGGCCATGGGTAGCTAATTGTATATGGGTGAATTTCTGATCATAAACACATTCTGTAAAATTTACCTGAAATTCAAGTGTTCTAATAGCACATATCCATCTAGAAAGAAAGAAAAAATCAGTTATTTACATGGATCTCATAGAAATTTAGAGATTAACCATATAAAACCTTCTAAATATATATGCCTTAAAACTAGCATTCAAGTAAGAATTTGCAAAAATAGGTAATCTGGTTTTTTTTTTAAGTTGCATTGGGAGATTCACACAAATTGCAGTGAATGATGCACAGCCCATTTGTAGGTGGGAGGATTCAGGCTTCTAGGAGTAAACTATTTATTTAAAACATGTTTTAAATAGGTAGCAACAATATTACAGTTTCTGAGCTTAAGAAGTGGTTGAGGGGCTCAGAACTGAAGCCAAAACATTTTCTTTCAATTCTGGATTTATTTAAGGTACTTGGCCATTCCATTCCAGCTCAAAGTAGTTCAATTTATACCCTGCTTCCAAGTGATGCATTTAAAGGGGCCACTTTGCAAGAACTGCAGTAATTTGAGTTTGCCATTTTCCCCGCCACCATGCTTCACCCACACACCTTTCATTCACCAACACCTAGACACTTACACATGCCTTCAGAATTCCGACAAATTAGCTGGTTCCCTTCCGCGATATCAATAACTTCAAGTTGTTCTCCAGCTGTAATCCGTAAGTCAAGTTTTCTTTTGGTCAAAGTATTTGAACAGTGTGCAACTGCAGTATTTATTACTGTGATTTCTTTTGTATACTGAGAGAGATCAAAAATAAAGCCAATTGAGATAGATATACGAAAAGTTGATTTAGTAAGACTCAAAAAATGGTCATGTTCAGTGGTGATTTTTTTTCCTTTTAAACTGGGCCCTGTGCTATATTACACTGTGCTTTGGAAAGTTTCTCACAGAAGTAGGATGCCCATAATTTTAAGGGTGAAAATGCTACTGTTTGAAGGAGAAGAAGAAAAGATTGGATTTTTACCCCATCCTTCACTACCCGAAGGAGCCTCAGAGCGGCTTACAATCCCTTTCCCTTCCCTTCCCCACAATAGACATCCTGTGAGGTAGATGGGGCTGAGAGAGCTCTCTCAAGAACTGCCCTTGAGAGAACAGCCCTGAAAGAATTTATGACTGACCCAAGGTCACACCAGCAGCTGCATGTGGAGGAGTGGGTAATCAAACCCGGTTCTCCCAGATTAGAATCCGCGCTCCTAACCACTACACCAAACAAAGCCTCCTTGGGCATGCAGAAGTAGTAGTACAATTCTTTGAATCCCGGTTTATATCTTGACCTTGAATTACCTAGTTGCTATTATGGTCAGTCAGCATATAATAGCCTATCCATGTTATTTACAAGGTATTCTAAAATGCATTATCATGTGCAATAAAATATAAATTTCAATCCAGTTTTAAAATAACTTGAAAAAGAAAGTAGTTATGACCTTTAACACGTAGCAAGACCAGAGTTTATTTTTAATCTTTCCCAAAGGTTTAAAGCAAGCAACACTAGATTAAAAAGCAAACAAATCATTTCAAAACAATATTAAAAATTTAAGGAGAACAGTGCTATAATCTCCTGGTCTCTTTAAACCTGGGGTCTCCAACAAGTATCTCATGAACTACAAAATACTTAATGCATCCCTTAGAAGATCCAGGAAAAGATCACAAAAGATCTGCTCTGAGGTTTTTTTAAGGCTTTTATTTCATAGTAGTTTTCTCTCTTTACCTTCACTGGTAATTTGGAATATTTTTCATTATTTCAGAAGAAATTCTCATTACAGAAAAGGCTGGCTATCCCGCTTTAAACCTTGATCCTCCATTACAAAAATCATATGAACACTTCCAGAGAATATCCAGGTGTTCTGGGGATAACCACTGAGAATACTTCTTATTCTGTGACTAACCACAGATGTCACTTAAAAAGCAAGGTGAAAATACTCTTTATAGTTGCACCCAACATGCTCAAAATCATCACTAGGAATTTTGTCAAAATTACACAGGAAACTACCAACAGCCCAGTTTAATGTGCTTCTGGTAAACCTGACTCCACACACACACACACACACACACACCCCAAAATAGTTGTGGGTTGCAGCTTGTGATCATTCAAACATAAATACTCTGCAGCCCATAGATTTTTCTCTGGAACTCTCAAATCCTTAACATTTGTGGAGAAGTTCAGCTCCCACCCCTAGTAGTTTGGGAGCTGTTTTTGGTGCCTCTCCTTTTCCAAATGAGCTTTCTTCTGGGGGCATGTTGGAAGACTGGGCTCCCCATCAATCAAGGGCAAAAAGCAAGCAAACCATATAAGACGGCTAATCTCCATAATTGCACTTGCCATGTGGAACTGTCCCTCCCACCCATCACTGTATTTTGTCAAGGTATTGATAGCTCATAGCTTTGGGGCTCAAGCAGGAATCTTTTTGTACCCTTTCAGATTGGCTGGAAAAGTGTTCTTTTTCACCGGTTTCACTTCATCAGGGTGGGGTTCTGATTAGGTTAAGTGGTGAGGGTTGGCTAGGGTTCGCTGGAACAGTCGCAGGCCTCTGTTTGAGTTATGAATCTATGGTGAGCACCTGAGGCATCTTATGATGGTGGGAGGTTTCCTGAACCAGCCTCTCATGGCCTACCAAGTCAGGGATGTTGCCGTGGGACCCCCTATGGGGCTGTGGCTCCACTCGTTCTAACCCTAGTGGGCAGATGGTGGTAGAGCAACAGCTTGGTATGCAGGCCAGGAAAGGCGACTGACAGATTAAGGCCACCTCACACTTGGAGCCGGCATGAGATTGCCTACTAATCCTGGGATGCCTGTGGCAGCCCATTAGGTACACAGTGCCCACACTGAGGGTTGGGATCAGATTGGTTTAATAACTACATCCCAGGTGAGCCCATTTATTGTGTGTGGCATCTTTACTGGGGGACGGTGGGGCAACTAGAGCATGCAAGCCCAAACAACAAGATAACATTTACATAGAACTGTGAATAGACTGCAGGACTGGCAGCAGTTGGCAGACTAATTTTCATGTACTGCAAACATATACACACCCCACTTTAAACTACAGGTAACCGGACACCACCCAAGCTATGTTGTTGTTTTTTAAAATATATATATATATGGAAGATACATACCATAAACCTCTCTCTAAATAGTTTTTCTTCTTTTGTCATCTTGTTATGCTTTCCAACATTATATTTCTTGACTTTGAATAAGTTTCTGGAAGACAGGCTACTAACAAAGAATATACACATGATAGTCTCTAGCAAATAAATATAAAACATTACTACAAAAGGCAGCTAATTCACCTTATTGTTAAAGCCCTTTTTATAAGTGCCCCAAAGGTTCCACTCATGCAACAGGAGTTGCCTGTCCCCTCTGGCTGCTGCTCTTTTTTTGTTGAAAAGTTGTTTCTTGGGGTCATGGGACCCACTGGGGTGGATTGCAATCCAGGGCTTGAGACTGAAGAATTGGGGGGGGGGAATCAACCATCCTTTGCACAAGCTTTCTACTCATGCTAAGGGTTCTTTGAATCTTATTGAAGAGGTGTAACCATTTTAGTCTGTTGTAGCAAAATAAAACAAAACCCTAGTATTCACGTTTTAGCCCTTATGGAAAATCCCTTATGAACGTCATTAATGCTAGACAGAAAGAGAAAGGGTCACTTTTAAATCAAACATACAGTCCTATCTGAATTTACAAATGCGGATATGTGCCTACTCCTGCAGTGTGTACACCAAGGGCATTTATCAGACTGAGATTTTTTCTGGTGTCCTTTGCCATTTAAAAAGATGTAATGTTACATGCCAGGATCCAAAAAGCCACTTCAGGTAAACACATGCCCCTCATTATATCCAGGGGGGGGTTCCTTTTGCTTTCCTTTCCTTTGCTTTGCATTCCCTCATGCCACCACAAGCTGCTCTTCAGAGTCCTTTAGTTCCAAAAGTGGATTGATAAGCAGCATGGAGCTGCTCCTTGAAAAGCTCAGCACCGAACCTCTCCTGGGTAGATCGGGCTGGGTCTAGATCTATGAATGAGCAGACCTTCCCTTTTCCACAGCGGCCTCCCAGGGTACCCTCCATGCTGCTGTCCCTGGCGCTTATGCTGTGTTTTGGTTGCCATCCAAAAGGACACTCTCCCAGGAGTAAGACCCATTGAATAATTTGGGACTTCTTTCTGACTTAGAATTGTTCTGTGCTTATAAGCAGCACAAGAGTATGGATAGAGAAGAACTACTTGGACTATTCTTAGAGTAGAAATATTTTCCAGGGCTAGCAGGGCAGTTTTAGAGGAAGGAGGGAAAAAAACTATCCCTCCCTCCCTGTATCATAATGATATGGAGCTATGACCAAGGATTTGTTCAATAGTTTAAACTTTAACTAATGATTTGTAATCTGTATAGATAAAGCATAGTTGCATTAACAGCAACTGTCTGGAATGAGTCTTTACAGACTAAGACAAACAGTTATTGGTATGGTAATCACTTTCCATTCGAGGCAGTGACATAATGGATACAGAAATGACTTTTCATATATAATGGATTGCTATGAAGTAAAATGAGAAGCCTCCTAATAACATGGACCCAAGACTAACAGCTGTCACTCTGGAGAAGAATTTCACGTGCATGTTACCTGATATGGTTTCTACAAATCAATGGATCACATCAAACCAAGGTAAGTCCCAAATCATACAGAAACAGCACTCTTAATTGCCATAATATTTTGTGCTACAGTCCATATTAAATTATTTATCTCGACATTTACATATTAGCTATATTAAAAAAAACACCCTGAAACAAAAAGGAAGTGCAAACTATTTTGCCTTCCTCAACTCAAGCAAGATAGCAAAATGCCACACTTTCATACCATGGTAGCAGGAGGACTAGAGCGCCACATACAACAGAACATGGAATGGACAGAGGAGAAGATGAATAGTAGCAAACTAGTTCTCTGGGCTCTAGCTCAGTACTCCAGATGTTCTCCATATATAGACTGACTTTAGAGTACACCAGTGATAGCCAGTTGCAATTTAGAGCCTTGAAAGAACTTGCTCAGTCCTTACATAGGGTTGGATTCTGCTCAATCCTCATATAGGGTTGGATACAGACAAAGTTGGCCATTTCCACTGATTACCCCTTCCCACCATAGACCCTCTTCAGGGGCTCTATCCTCCATCAGCAGCATTTTGTGGAGATCAGTAGGCTGCAGTGGAAATGGGGAATGAAAGTTGTGGTTGAAATGATGTGTTGTGCGGCCGAAAGGCCTATCTGTTGTGATTCGCTCTGAGCCCATTTGCAAGGAGTGTGGAATATAAATTCAAAAAATAAATTCTGCAACTGGCAAATTTAGTCTGGACCCAAACCAAGGACATCTGTGTAGTGTTTGTACTAGTACATGTGCTCATGTATTACTATATTTTGAAATAGTGTGTTAAAATGAACAGGTTCTTACAAACAGCATAAAGGGTTAGATTCCACTAGCTTTTTCACTGAGGGCCAAACTAGATGTGATTGCATCCTTGTGGTAGCTACAAGAACATCACTGCCATTTTAAAGCCATGATCACAATGGCCTGAACTGAAGAGGCCCACAGCATGGAATTCATGTTCTGCCTTGATGACCTTTATAAGGGCAGAAAGGCAGGATACAAATTTCTAAAGAAATAAAAAATGTCCCTCCATGACTTTTCAAGTGCCGAAACAGTCGTGGGGGGGGGGGGAGCAACCACAGGGGAAGGAAAAAGAGTGTCTCGGCCATCCACACGAGACCTGATCAAGATTGGGCCCTCACAGCATTTTTAAGGACTTTAAAATGGCGGCAGTGTCCTCGTGGCAGCAATGAGGACACCATCACATTTAGAGGGAGTGAGGTTAAGGGCCAGCATAGCCTTTGTTGGTAGTCAAAGTGTACCCCTGCTCCTTTTTTCAGAAGAAGAAGAAGAGATTGGATTTATATCCCGCCCTTCACTTGGAGTCTCAGAGCGGCTTACAAACTCCTTTCCCTTCCCCTCCCCACAACAGACACCCTGTGAGGTGGGTGGGGCTGAGAGAACTCTGACACAAACTGCTCTTTCAGGAACAGCTGTGCCAGAGCTTGTGACTGACCCAAGGTCACATCAGCAGGTGCAAGTGGAGGAGTGGGGAATCAAACCCGGTTCTCCCAGGTTAGAGTCCGCACACTTAACCACTACACCAAACTAGCTCAGCAGAAAAGCTGGTTGAATCGAACCCACAGTTATTTTAAACTTTAAATTTGTACACTGCTTTGGTTGCTGCTTGCAACAAAGAAATGCAGTATAGAAACGTCCAAAATAAAATAACCAATAAAGGGAGAAGGGGATTGTTCTGTTTAAGGAAGTCAGCATTTGCTTATTACATATCAGCATCTTCACTGCTTCTCCTCCGATCTTTTTCTTTTGACGCGAGGAATCTTAACTTCCAGTTTTTATGCATCTCGTTCTTCTCTCTAGAGAGCAGAGAGGGGGGAAATAGGCTTCTGAATGTCATGGATGCTGCAAAATGCTGACGGCCCAAACAGACAATGGGGTATTGGTGAGATCAAATACGATACAACACAACAGACCTCATTTCATGCACCACTGAATCACAAAAACATTTTCAAATAGGAATCATGTAGTTACAGCAGTACACAGACGTTTGGTTCAATAGGTTGCAAGCAAAGCACTGAGCATCCTTTACACAGTGTTGTGCTACAAGGGATTTTTTTTACATGGCACACATAAAGCAGATTATGTGTTCCAAGCAAACTATAAGAAGAATTTTGAGGCCACAATGTTAATAAAGCCATTTTATCCTACAAAAGACATTTAACACTCAGTTATTCTTGCTGTCTTACTTAAAGAACTACCAGTTCCTGGAGTATTTGAGTTTTCAGCAGTCTTAACCTTCTGGCCTTATCTTTAGGGTTGCCAGCCCCCAAGTCGGTGCAGGGGATCCCCCAATTTTGTGTGCTCCTGCTTGATGAAATCACACGGAAGTGACATAGTCATGCCAGGGACATCACACCACGGTGCTCTGGTATTTTGGACAAAACTCTGTGGTAACCATAGAGTTTTGGCCAAAATACCACAGCATCACCGTGCGACATCCCCGACGTGATGGCATCACTTCTGTGTGACATCATCATGTTGGGGACATTGTGTGCAGTGATGTCACCCTGCCCCCCCCTGCTCCTGGAAAGCTCCCTCCCACCCCCTGCCAGCAAGACCTTAGGACCTGGCAACCCTACTTATCTTGTAAGCCACAAAAATACGTTCTCTGTTGGTAAACATAGCAGCAGCAGCCAATTGTTTGCAGTTATTCCCCTACCCATTTGTAGGCCTGCTCAGACCAGGCTCAAATTAAGATACTGAACCATATGTGTTACTATGTAGAATGTATCTACCAGTACACTGTATATTTTAAGAACCGCACAGTGGTTTAAATGATCCCCCCAAAAAGTAAGGAGAGCCACAGATACTTAAAGTCTTGATAAATGAGATTTGTGCATGCAAGGCTGGAACCATATCAAAAGTGAAACACTGACCATGAGTGAGCAGAGGCAGAATGAAGTGCTAGTTCCTAAGCCCTCACTATAGTAACATGTAAAATAGGGTTGCCAGGTCTTACCTTTAGCTGTGGTGGGGGAGCACCCGCAAACGTCACCCGGAAGTGACATCATCATGTCAGGCACGTTGGGGGCAGGACCACTATCATTTGAGAGAAAAACATAGAGTTTTCCCTTGAATGATAGAGCATCCCCCCACAACGTGCCTGGCGTGATCCCGGCACTTTTGGGGTGGGGTTCCCCCTGGCGGCTGGATCCAGGCTGGCAGGTAAGGGGCCCATGGAGTGGGCAAACCCCCACCCCCCCAGGGGACCTGGCAACCCTAATGTAAAACGAGGTAAAAATGGAAGGAAAAGTCAAGCTATGAAAGCAACAAACAACACCAAAGGGACAGCAGGTTTTCACACTAGGGCTATGTTGAAATTTACACAAAACCTCCATTGATTTTTTTTTTTTAAAGGACAGACAATAATACTTTAAAATTATCTTAGAATTGATATGGTTTAATTCAGAAGAAAGTAGTATGACTATTATGTTAAGGTTATACATTTAATATTTGAAGATAGTAGAATTGCCAGTTTTAATTTAATATAGTCTTTTAAATAAATGGATATAGTATATGGAAATAGAACTGAATATTTTTTACTTTATTTCATTTCCTTCTTTCCCAAACACACATAGATGTAATTCTGGCCTTTTTCTTGAACTAGGAAAAAGGTCAGTTGTGGAAATAAATACAACGGTCTCTAGAAAGAGGCTCTGGGCCGGTGCCCTGGCCTTGGACACTCAGTGTCAATTTGCTGTGGCGACCTCAGCAGGGTATAATGACACTGAGTCCACCATTTTCTCCAGAGGAACTGATCTCTGCTACCTAAAGAACAGTTGTAATTTTGTGTGATTTCCAGCCCTCACATGGAGATTGGCAATGATGGTTCCCCAGAAGGGAATGGTTGGTTTGGAGGGTGGAGTCTATGGCTTTGTACCTGTCCAAGGTCCCATGCCTCCTGAAACCTCACCCTCTCCAGACTCCATCCCTCACATCTCCAGGAATCTCCAGGAACTCCTTCCCAGCCAATCATCAACCTACCTTTATTTCCCCCTCACTCTTCAGCTTTTCACCCCCCACACACCTGCAGCCTCTCCCGTGCTCTGAAGCCCTGCTACGTCACATTGGCTGTCATACGGGGGCCACCTCAGCAGCACATAAGGATACAGAGCCCACCATTTTCTCCAGGGGAACTGATCTCTGCCATCTGGAAAGCAGTTGCAATTCTGAGTGATCTCCAGCCCTCACCTGGAGATTGGACACATTTTACCTCAGAACAGCAAACTGTTTAGAATGTTAGAGGCAAAAGCCAATCAAGTCGCATATGCAAACAACCTCTGTGTTCCGAGGCAAAGGCCAATGAGGCTGCATATGCAAATAACCTCTGTGTTCTGACTGGCTATGAGGGAGAGAGGAACAGCAAAATGTTTAGAATGTTGGAAGTGAGACTCAAGCAATGCAGCCAATGGATAGGGACAGATTCTGACACACCAGGGCGCCAACCAATTCTGGAGCGTGTGGGATGTTCTAGAGAAGTGCCACCATCATTCAGCTTTTGTATATAAGGGAGATAATGTTTATAGTTGACATATATGCTTTATATATTATACATTACCTATACCTTGATAACTGTAAATATTGAAAATCTTTTTCAATTCCCTGTTTCCTTTCTTTTTTCTGTACCCCTTATTTCTTCTTAGAATAAATATGTATTTTAAAAAAGAGGACAGATTTAGGTCCCTCACAGTTAAGCTACTGTTTACTGACCTGATCCCACCACTGATAATTTTGCTTTGCCTTCTCTTGAACTTTAACCTGAACTCTCCATCATAAACCTGTCCTCCTTTGCTTTATCTAACAGATACGTAACTGCTTAGCTGTGGGATGTGAAATCCACTGATTTGGCTAAAATTGGCTATTACAAGACTTTACACATTAGAGGCCTGAAATAGTAACAGTATTGACAAAAGAGTTTTTGTGATTTGAAACAAAAACATAACCTACTTTGTAGCATTTTCTTCCATGTTGACATCGTCATATACCATGTTTTCCTGGGTCATAACATCTACCATCAAAACCATTCAATAGTTAAACACAATAATATAAGCCATTTACTTGATAAACATGGAAAATAAACACGTATAAAGTCCACATTAATCCAGACTCACTAAAACATCAGAGGTCTTCTTTTTAAAAAACTAATAATTGCCTCAGAAGTTAACCATCCACTGCTTCACGTTCAAGAATATTGATATATTATTTTTATAGGAAGAATAGCTGTCTCAGAAACCCAAGGAAACTTGTTACTTGACTGAAGGGCTAGTATAAAGTTGTTCTTTGACGACCTAAGAATTTTCTACTGTATAAGAAAATGAACTTGTAATCCATTTTACTCAAGAATAATACCTGTGAAATAAGCCTTCAAAGTGCTTTTTGAAAATGATACACTATAATCAAGTTTGTATTAGGCAGTTCAAATATGCCTTTGTAGATAACTAAACATTAGTCCTAAAGGACAGGTATACCAAAAACTGTCATGGGTCACAGTCTCCTATAAAACTGACAATGGAAATCAGTCAATTAAAAAAAATTTTAGAAGTTGCAGTTTGACCATTTATGGGGATAGTTCAGCCTAGGGGGCCATTGTTTAGACCCCCACCTCACCCTTTCAAGTGAAAAGATTTTTACCATTGAGCAAATATCCTTACCTAGATTTGGCACAGAACTGGAGAGGTTGCTGGAGGGGGGGAAATAAATTACATGCATGTCAACATTATTTATAAATAGCAATATTGGTTGCATAGCAACTGCAACCAAGGCTTTAAGAACGAATTACTCTTCACCCCCTTCTCCCCACCACAGATACAATCACTGTTACATTTTTTGTAATCTAAGAGTTTTAGAGAAAAAAATGTTAAATGAGCAGATTACAGCAAATGCCCATTATTATTTATATGGATTATTAACCCCTAGTATAAACCATTGTAGTCTATGGTTTATGCTCCCGCCCCATAAAAGTTCTTGTATATATTTAGGAATAGTAGGTCTGGATACATTATTCATGCTGTTCTTTGGGGCATGATTTTATTAGTTACTTTTTGTGGGGTATTAAGAAAAAAAGATTCAGTATTGTGAAACACTTTGATACTGCCATTGGCTAAGGGACTTTGATTTGGGAGTTGGCTTTTATTCAGGGTATCACCATCCGGAATAAAGGCAGTTTGGTGCTGACTCTTCGGTTTGGATCCAGAGGTATCGCTTCATCAACATAACTGCAGTTTATCCAGTGGCCGAGGACAAGTTTCACCCACTGTCTCCTCCTACTGAAAACTCCACCTTTTCCCCTCACATGGTACAGGGAGGCACAAAAGACTATTGTGGGGGAGGAGGCAGGGCTGTTGCCTTCTTTCAGTGCTCCTATGCTTGTGCTACTTGGTTTGGACTTTGTCTATTGACCAGAGTGGCAATTAAATCATAAAAATAATCAGTATAAAGTGGAAGGTTAATAGTAGGGTATGTCTGAGTGAACATCCTTCAATTAATGCTTTCCATCTCAGCTCACATCAATGATCTTATAAATCACCTCTATCAACATGTGCCACTATTTTGTATTACACAGATACTACACACTTCTATTTATCAAAGACATGGTGCAATTCTGCCCAATAAAACTTCTACAGATTTAAAATAGCAAAAAAGTACTAGGGTGATTAAGGTGGAAAGCAAGACCTCAGACCAGCACAGTATTTCTTGACACCAGTAAATCAATTATGTGTGGCATGTTAGGGAACTGCCCCAGCTGAAAGGCATTTAAGCAGTAGGGAGCAGCTGGGCACAAACCAGTTTCATGAGGGGTTCAGACCTGAGATCCCAAGGGCAGTGTGAGGGGGTGGAGAGGCAACTCCACTCAGAGAACCTGGTGAAGTAAAACAGGCCACAGCTTTATTGATTGCAGCCAAAGGAGCATTGGTGCAGCATAGGGCACAGATACAGGCATCAGATGACCCAACTTTCATCCGATGGAACCCTTTCCCACCCCACATGCTAGGGGAAATCTGAAGTGGCAAGCGAGTGGACCCACACGGGTGCAAGCCTCTGCATGGTTCCCCAGCCACCTGGGGGTGGAGCTGGGTGCCAGTCCTCAAGCTGGGCATGCTGCTATGGGGAGGGAAGAGGGAGGGAATGTTTGACAAGGTGAGGCCCAGGCAGCTTGCCTGTTGGCAATTGTGCAGCTCAAAGAGGAGACTGCTAAGCCCCACCCTGCCCCACCCAGAAGGCTCCCAGCCACAGCAGCAAGGAACTCACGCAATGCCACGGCCAGAGGAACAACCACCTTGCTCCTGCCCTGCCCCTCAGCCTGCAGCCACAAAACAGCCCCAGGTAAGTCCAGGACTGCCATTTTCTTTGTAGGGCTCATGCAGGAAAAAAAACTAGTATTTTAAGTTGTTAGGGTTGCCGACTTTGGCTTGGGAAACTTCTTGTACTTAATATTTTGTAAACTTTTTGCACTTATTTTTGTTATTCTTTGTACTGATAATATTCACGGTGAGATAGATTTAAATTGTATAATTTTTGGATTATTGTAGTAGTGTCTCTTTAAATTTAGCACTAAATTCACAGTCCGACTTTGGTGGCTATACTCTGATGCCCCTAATACTGCCATTTCCTTCAGAGAGAAAAACCCTGATCTCTGTACTCTGGTGATCAGGTGTCATTCCGGAAGAACTCCAGGCCCTACCTTGAGACTGGTAAACCCTGTGAACAGTATCATCAGCACCTTGATGTAAACAGATGCTGCTGTGTTGCTTCAAAAGAAATACAAACTAGATAAACTAAATTACTTAAGGAAAGCCAACATCTCTTCATTAAAGAGCAGCATTAAAAAATTAACATTATAAAGCATTCCACATTTTTTGTTCAGTCCTGGATAATGGACAGCCCTGCTTTTGGGAGGTTTGATCCACTGCTAGCCAGCTGGGGAAACCCCACCCCCAAACAAGGACATCATTGCACGATGTCCTCAACACAATGGCATCACTTTTGGGTGATGTCATCATGCCGGGGATGTCATGCGGTGACACTCTGGTTTTTGGGCAAACTCTATGGTTTTGAAGGCAAAAAGCCATAGAGTTTTGCCCCAAAACCAGAGCATTGTGTGCGATGTCGCTGAAGCAATGATGTCAGTTCTGGGTGATGTCATTGCATCGGGGACTTCGCATGTGACGTCCCACCCACCACTGGAACAAATCCACCCACCATGATGGCAAGGGGAGCTGGCAACCCTAGATATGTGCATGCACACATGCACATACACACAGAGCTGAGTAGTAGCCAATTCATTCACTAGATGTGGTAACCCCAACAAGACTGTCTTTGTCACCATCTACTTACAGCCTGCTGGTGGGGCTTACTGCATTGTATGGTTCAGAGAAGAGAAAAAATGAGGATATCAGGACTCCAACTAGCACTCTGAGTTTCTTGATAAAGACCTCAAAAATTAGACACTAGGAACAGTAGACTACAGCCGGACTGGAGTCAGGATACCTTGAGGTAGGGCAAATGCCAGTGCCCAGAGCTTATGGTGGGGCCCACTGCTGTTGACTACTATTTGTGCACCTCTGCTACCATCTCTTTGCATGCCATTCCACATCTGTTTACATGAAGCAGTCTGACACCCATGCTCCCAGCTGCCCAGTGTCACTGGGGAAGGGCATGAGAGTGGTGCACAGTGGAGGCACTCCAGTGCTACTGTTGAAAGTGTATGCATGTGCTACAGGCAACTAAGCATGGGAGGTGGGAAGGCTTGTGAGTGGGAGAAGGACACACAGGCGGGGTGGAAAGGGAGATAAGAGGAGGCCCAGGCTTTCTCCATCTGGGATTCCCCGAAACCTAGAGTGGCTCTAGACTATAGGCCACAGAAACTGTTGAGCAGCGTTGCTGCCCAGCATCCCTACTTTCCTATATGTAGATAGAGTGATAATGACACACTGCCTACCAATCGGTTAGGACAGAATACAGTTTCAGTGCCACTTGCAAGTACTCTAGCATCACGCCACAAACCAACCACTGCCAACAAGTGTAGAGCTGAGATACAACAATAGCAAGGCACAAAATAGTCCTCATTTGGGAACTAGAGGATATGTTCATACTGCCATCTGCTTTTTCTTGTTTTCTAGCTCAAACATTCTTCACTATTAACTCACAGGGCTCCCTGTTCCACACTCGCTTTCCTTCTGCTTAAATGTTGTAAGATGGATATATAACTCCCATTTTGCCTTCCTAAAGTTTCATCTACTGCTTTGGTTGTTGTGCCACTTACATTTTGTTGGAGTGCATGCCATTCTGTTATGAACACTTTGCAGAGATGAGATACATGTCTTTAGAGTGCTGTGATCTGCTATCAAAATTGCACCACATAATGTTTCACAGATGCTTAAAATGGCTGCTTGAAATGACTGATGAACATTACAATTTGTCTTGATTTTTCTCCAAAGAGTAATGTACGTAGATCTCCTTTCCTCTACTGCATCCTTTATGAGGTGGGTTCGGATGAAATATAGTGCCCATCCCAAGGTGGGCATCAAGTGGATTTCCTTTTAATTTCCTAGTGAAATAAACTAGTAAAGAGGAGACAAAGTAACCTAACTTAAGTAACTTAATTTGATAGCTGCCCCATGCCAAAATAATTTTCATACCAGATATTCTCTTTCAGCTGAGCGTTCTTCATTTTAAACTTTTCTTTCTTGAAAATTTTCCCAAATTTCTTTAGTTTTTCTACTTTGTCATTACTAGGTAAAAAGGAAAATATAAGACATTAAAATAAAGACTGAAAGCGATACATAGGACATTTTTATCAAAGTGCCATTTATTAAAGTATCATCGATTTACAGTAGAGTTAGGAGTGTCTGAAGAAAGAATTCCTTCACTCAACAAGATTTAAAAACTGCCACTAGTTTATCATGCTTAAATGGGATTAGACAAATCCATGAAGTAGAGGTTTAAATGGGACATCTATGTTCTGATACAGGTTGCTTCCAAGTACCAGCTATAAGAATAAACAGAGGATAGCTCTAACCACTTGCTCTGAGAACTTCCCAAGGCCATCTGCCTGACCACTGATGAATGGAGATAATCCTAAAATTAGATGGTCTCCACTCTCATTTAGTGACACAGTCCTTCAAGACTTCATGCATCACCTGACGACGCTTAAATAATCATCTTCAAAATGTGACAGGTGCACAGGGGTGTTATGATTTTTCTGTTTGTTCTAAATAATTTTGAAGTATAGAATTACAATAACTATACATCAAGAGGTCGGTTGCAGCTGGGGAATAATTAGTATGGCGAAAAGTAATATGGTTATAATTGAAAGAGGATGTGCTTTAAGCCAATGTTTCTCAAACGTTTTGAATTTACCTCCTTCCTAAACTTACACTATCTTTTGTCTCTCTCCAACACCACCCTGCCCAGCCTGGCACCAATCAGATCAGTGCACATATAATCTTGCAGGCCATTGCATGCATCCATGCTAATAAATCCATATTACCATTAGAATAGGAAAACAGGATTTCTCTGAATTCTTCCCAAATCCATGTACGGGAAACTGGACAAATAAGCAGTAGCTTATTTTCTTAGCCCCCTTCTTGACAAATCAAGGAGGTGCAGTGAGAGCACAATCACCCTCACGAATCCAACGAGTATCCATGAGGATACATTTCTGGAAGTGTTCAGTTTATGCAAATCATGGCTGTAGGCAAGGAAGACTTTCTCTATCTCAGGATTGTACCATCCCCTGCAACTTGGCACAGACAACCTCCAAATGTGGCCTACCCCATTTTCAGTAGAAAGAAGCCATCAGCTTACAGACAAGGAGAGAACTGAGAAAATGTCTACAGATACCCTTTACAAATTTTAAACCCTCAATTGCACAGATTAAAATGTTACAGTTGATATTTTAAAGATATTAATCAAGGCTCGCTTTTTAATTAAGCAGACCTCACAGAATAGTAATTCACGATGAAATGATTTGCTGATTCTGCAATAAAGCACTGGGACCTTTTAAAGTCTGGTTAATACTTTCAGAGCTAAACGAAATGAGTTATTACTGCACTACTACAGTTCTAAAGAACGGAGAGGATATAGAAGTCAAGTGAAAGCCCATGAAAAAGCCGCAAGAAGACTTTATGGGGGGGGTGTAGCGATCACCTTTTTGCAGCTGTAAGGCCATGTGGAAAACAGCCAGTTACTACCTACACCAGCGACCAAATGGAGAATTCCACTACTGTGAGAAAATGACCCACATATTGACTAGCATGTGTAATGCCACTCATGGAAGGAGATGAATGACACAATTGCTGGGACTCCTATGGCTTTAACTCACTAGGTGGTCCTGGCCTTTTTCTTGGCAAAAGTACTAGTACTAGTTTCCATGGTAGCCTTGAACCAGTGGCCATGGTGTGCATGTGCATCTTTACTGCCTTCTCTGAGTCTGACATTAGGAGAGAATGAACATGCTTCCTGTATAGCAAAACTAAAATAATGGTGCAGTAAAGGGACATTCAAAGTCACAGGTATGCACTGAGAGCTGCATGGGTTAAGAACATAAGTAAAGCCTGCCAGTGGTTTACCTAGCCTATTTGGCACCTGGGGCAGACAATTTTTAACACCCCCTCTATTTTTTTTTTTTGTCATCAAGTCACAGCTGATTTATGGTGACCCTATAGGGTCTTCAAGGCAGGAGACATTGGGAGGTGGTTTGCCACTGCCTGGCTCTGCATCGGCCCTGCTTAACTTCTGAGATCTGACGAGATCAGGCAAGGCTGGAGCGATCAAGGTAAGGCCCCCTCCTCAATACAACAAAATTATTTACATTAATAATCGTAATAAATAATCATAATAAAATGAATAATAATAATGGCCAGAAAATAGATTCAGGTGGGGAGCTGTGTTGGTCTGAAGCAGCAGAACAAAGTTTGGTTTTAAGGGTGCCACTGGACCCAGACTTTGTGTTCAGTGGCCAGAAAAGGAACGTTTAAATACAAGAAACATTTCTTGTATTTAACTTGTGTATATAAACATGCCAGTTTTTTAAAAAAATCAAATTCCAGCACGCTATTCCATCACGAGAGCCAGTGTGGCGTGTTGCTTAAAGTGTTGGACTAGAATCTGGGAAATCCAGGTTCAAATCCCCACTCATGCCATGGAAGCTTGCTGGGTGACCTTGGGCCAGTCACATTACTCTCAGCCTAGCCCTGGCTTGGATAACCCCAGGATAGTCTGATCTTATCAGATCTCAGAAGCTAAGCAGGGCTGACGTGGAGGCAGGAAATGGCAGGCCAGCTCCAAACATCTCTTGCCTTGAAAAGCTGTGACTCGATGGCAAGAAAAAAAATCCATCACACCACTCGTGTTCTGAGCAGGCACCTGGGAGGGTTTCTGTTCTCCATTTTGAAGTCCAAGAGCTGACCATCTCAAACATCTACAAGGCATTTCTGAGATCTAGGAGTCTGCCTTTGTACTAATTTTTACTAACACTACCCAAAGCATCACAAAATAGTGATTGCAAGCTTCAACAGACTGGATGCTAAGAAACACACTACCTCCAAAAAAGAAGGTGCCCCCATCCTCTATTGTTCCCAAAGGACTAAAGTCATACCAGATAATCTCTACAGAAGAAAATGAAGGGGGTCATTTTGTTCCCCAACAGAACCAGTACAATGCACAGAGCACCCAGCATAATATTAACAAAGGTTTGCTACTGTACCACTCTTAAATACATTCTGTCCCCAAACAAGGTAGGGATGAGAAGGTCTTGGAGACCAAGAAGTGAAAATAAAGGTGTGTGGGGGGGACATAGAAAATTGTGTGGAAAAGATGGAGAGAAATTAAGAGAGGGAAAGGTTGTTTTATCTTGCTGCAACACCCTAAATATTGCTTTGCAAGATCTGGCTGAGCTGGGTGGAAGGAAAGGGAGAGAGAAATGCTAGGCTATTGGAGAAAATGACTTGCAGGTTGGCAGTTACTGTAACAGCTATCAGTATAATCTGTTAAGGAAGTTTGTTTGAGTCTTGGAGAAAAGGGAAGCTATGCTCAGACTTCCTTGTGCCCCTAGTGGCTGCAGCCAGAACTTCATTTTAAAAATAAAAAGAAAGACATTTGGTTGGAGGCAGCAAGACAACACTGGCTTTGAGGGGCCCCCTTCAGAGGCCTTCCTTAAGCTGCACCCAGGGTGGACAATCCCCCCCCGGTACACCACTGAAGCCTGCTGGATGAGACCAGTCGTCCATCATGTCCAGCATACCGTTTCACATAGCAGCCAAACCACTGCCCTCGAGGGCAAAACAAAGAGGGGAAGAAGAAGAGGAGATTGGATTTATACCCCGCCCTTCACTACCTTAAGGAGTATCATAGTGGCTTACAAACTCCTTTCCCTTCCCCTCCCCACAACAGACACCCTGTGAGGAAGGTGGGGCTGAGAGAGCACTGACAGAAACTGCTCTTTTTCAAGAACAGCTGTGCCAGAATTATGGCTTGCCCAAGGTTATCCAGCAGGTGCAAGTGGAGGAGTGGGGAATCAAACTTGGTTCTCCCAGATTAGAGTCTGCGCACTTAACCACTACACCAAACTGGCTCTCGAGACAGAGGCAGAGATCCTCTCCTGCTGTTAACTCCTAGCACTGGTACTCATAGCCTTGCTGCCTCTGTAGACGGACCTCTGCTCCATCTATCTGTTTAATCTAACCACTTCTAAAGCTATCTGAAGTGTAGTGGGTTAGACGCATGAAGAGAGCATGGAGACTGATGCAGTGATCAGCATAGCTTTACTGGTACACAACAAAGACAAAGAACAACGGCCGGCAGGCCAACTATATACATAACCAGGGACACACCCCTGGGTCCCATTGACGAGTTTGACTCTCCCGCCACGGTCCCATTGGTCCCCCAGTGGAGGGACTAGGATCCTAGTCCCCATTGTTGTCTAGGACCCAAGCTCAGGAGTGTGCGCTGGCCTCTGGTGGCGGTCAGCGGACACAACACTATCTGTGCTCATAGCCATCACTACCTCCACTGACACTGAATTCCATAGTTTAATTAGTTGTTGAGTAAAGAATCATTTCTTTTTGTCTATCCTGAACCTATTTCTCAACAACTTCACTGGGTGCTTGCAAGTCCTAGCATGGAAAAGGGAGGAAAAACTCCCTCTAACTATTTCCTCTACCACAAATAGAATTTTATAAACCTCTGTCTTGTCATCGTCCCCAGTCAACTTTTTTCTATACTTCTAGGAAAGGTGTTCCAACCTCTTAATCATCTCAATTGTCCTCCTTTGCACTTTTTATAGGGCTGCAATATCCTTTTTTTTTTTTTGAAAAAGCTTTATTCGCTCCCCTAAAAAGGGGAGATATTTCGCTAAAAGTTAGAAATAAGGAAGGGTATAAAGAGGGACAAAGAAAAGAGTGAGTGGTATTAATAATATGTTAGTCTGTTAAATTTTTTATAGTCCAATCAGAGAATCCACATTTTTATTTTTATTATTCTTCCTCATCGAAGCTTCTTCTTTTCTTCTAGTAGTTTTAGCCAAAGCAATTAGTATGTTAGTATTGTCCTTCTGGTATCAGTTTGTTCTTCCAAAGTAAAGTCCAATGAAAAAAGAAAAATAGCAGTTTTTAAGCTTTAGAGTTTTCTTCTTTGCTGACATGCTTTTTCAAAAAATCTTGAGCCTTGAAGATGGAGTCAATCTTCTCTCTTTTATCATTAAACTTGAAAACCAGTCCTTCTGGTATCAACCATTTGTAAGTCGTTTGGTGTTTTTGTAAGAAGGTGGTCAGTCCTTTATATTCCTTTCTTTTCATTCTGATTTCAAATGGAACATCTTTCAAAATTCTGATCTGTTGATCCCCGATTTTCAGGGGTGTTGCTGATGTAGACTTTAAAATCTGATCCCTGAGACGCTGTTTTGAAAATTTCACCACCACTTCTGCTGGCAATTTATTTTTCCTTGTAAAATTGGAATAGGCTCGATAGGCCTAATCCATCTCTTCTTTTATTTTGTCCGCTTCAATGCCAACCAATGGTGCAAGTGCAGTTGATAAAATGTCTCTAAGGATCTCCCCAACTTCCTCCCTCAGTCCCTGGAAGCGGAGAATAAGGTTAGATTTTTTCCATTTGAAGCATAAGCAGCTTGTTGTCTTGTCTTTCTTGATGCTTTTCCACTTTTTGGACCTTCTTCTTAACTATCTGTACTTCTTCTGCTGATAAAAGGCATTTCTTTACAGTATCATCCATCTTCTCAGCTACCTCTGTTATCTTCTTTTGCTGTAAACCCAAAGCATCTTCTACTGAGTCAAGTTTTCTGTTTATTTTTTGCAGTTCTGCCAGCAGATGGCGTGCAAGATCAGTGTCAGGTTGATTGGCAGCAGCTCCAGTAGTAGAGGGACTAGGACAGGAAGTCCCGCCTGTCTTCTTGGGCTGTTTCTCTGCTAACTTTCTCGAACTCGCCATGTTGCCGTTTTGTTTACTTTTTTGGAAGTTTTGGATACAATTCACTGGGACAGCTCCCAGGCCTCCGCTCTGCTTTTCACAGCCAGAAGGTAAATCGCTTATTTCAATTCGAGGGCTGCAATATCCTTTTTGAGATACAGTCGCCAGAACTCTCCTGCCAACCTAGCAGTTCGAAAGCAAGAAATTGCAAGTAGATAAATAGGTACCACTTCAGTGGGAAGGTAACAGCGTTCCGTGAGCCTTGGTGTTTAGTCATGCCGGCCACATGACCACGGAAATGTCTTCGGACAGCACTAGCTCTTCGGCTTTGAAACGGAGATGAGCACCGCAACCCTAAAATCGGATTCGACTGGCTTTCGAGCAAGGGAACCTTCACCTTTTTTAAAAAGCCAGAACTACACACAGTATTCCAAATAAGGCTTCACTGTCATTTCATACAAGGTCATTACAATACTGGCCATTTTATTTTCAATTCCTTTTTTATAATTCCTAGCACAGAGTTTGCCTTTTTCACTGCTGCTGCGCACTGGGTTGACATTTTCATAGAGCTTTCCACTACACGCCCAGGATCTCTTTAAATCTAAGTATCACTTTAGACTCCATCAGCATATATTTAAAGTTAGAATTTTTAGTTCCAGTATGCATCACCTTCACTTACTTACACTGAACTTCATTTGCCACATTGTTGCCCACTCTCCCAATTAAGAGAGATCCTCCTGTAGTTCCACAATCCACCTTGGTTTTCACCATCTTGACTAATTTGGTATCATCTGCAAACCTGGCTACTGCACTGCTCACCCAGAATTCCAAATAATTTATGAACAAATAAAATAGCACTGGTCCCAATACAGATCCTTGTGGACCCCACTATCATTCGTCACACAATGGCTTGGATCCTCAGGACATTTCCATAAACTTATAGGATTTCTGTCTGTGAAGAAGCAGAACTTGCTTGCTTCCACATTGCTCTGCAACCCAAAACTTTCCCAAGAGCCCTCTAAAGAGACCCCTCAGAACAACATAGGTGGGGTAGAAGAGTCTTCAGCGGGAAGGCAGAATATATAAAAGCCTCCTCCCCAAACCTTCATCCACAGAAATCTCATGGGATCCAAACTAATGGATTCATCTAAACCAAAGAACAGTGTGATTTAGCTATAGGATTTCTGCAGTCTGTTCCTAGAGCCATTCCACACACCATATGCATAAATTTAAACATATGTGAATACAACGTATCAGGGGTCATTTCCTGCCGGAGCAGTGCTTCAGCAGTAAGGAGCCCAGGGGCAGCCCACCACCATCTGGGAGGATTTAAATGCCTTTCTTCCCTGCCCAATCTTCTCCAGGTGTCCCACAGCTGCGGGGCACCTGGAGAAGATTGGGCAGGGAACCCAGGCAAGTTCCTGCCTTCTCCAGCCAGCCCGCCACAGTGGGTTGGCTGGGAGAGGAAGTGGAGATGGGCAGACATGCCCCCTTTCCCCCCTGAGCCTCTCTGCTTTGGTGGAGAAACTCAGGGAAGTGGGAGGAGATTTAAATGCCTTTCTTTCCCTTCCCCAGATGGGCATTTTAAACATGTCTGGGTTCCCTTCCCCAGAAAGGCATTTTAAACATGCCTGGGTTCCCTGCCCGATCTTGGGAAGATCAGGCAGGGAACCCAGGCATGCTTGCATGCCTGCCCTTTGTCAGGGGGTATGGCATATGTAAATGAGCTATGCAAATGAGCTCCTGCACCTCTTTTTCTATGAAATGACCCCTGTAACATATTATACATCAAAGAGCAATGATAGATCATAGTTCTCTGTTGAGTGTGGACTCAGCTGAAAATCCAGGTACTTATTCATGCAGTATGTAGTGGAGAATACACTGCATAACCACAAGGCACCTGATCAATGAACAGAAAAAGAGCTCAAATAAACTATTTTAACATAAAGACAAGAAACTCACTCTGATTTTGTTGATTTATAGTCTTCACTTTGAACATCCTCATATGTTTCTTCAAAGGTATTACCTGGAACTTAACACAGAAAAAATAACTATCATCAGAAAAGAACTTACCGTCAAGAATGTGGAATTTCATTAAAGAAGAGTTAGATGTTCAGAAGATAAGCTTTAAGCATATTTTTTAAAAGTTGACACTTCCGGTCTGCGGCTCAGTGATGGCGGAGGCTCTCCCCTGAAGCTAGGGAGGCAATCCGCGCTCCAGGGGTGTTGGAGGAGTGCCACCTCAAGTGGCACCCCCAGGTGAGCCTTAGTTAAAGGCTCCGAGCCGGGGGCACTGGGGGGGTGACCTCTTCGATGGCGGAAGCCGGAGAATTGAGGCGCTCCTTTTTGCCCCAATCAGTCCACCCCCTGTGAGGCTCGGTTCTTACTGAGCATAGCTGATGCCAGCCGGGACAAGCAAGAAGGTCAACGAATGAGCGTAACTACAAGGGATCTGTGAGTAGACCGTCAACGAATTGGAGAAAAAACCGAGCGAAAAAGTTCTAAAAGTTAGCTCCCCCCCCAGCAGAAGCGGCATCGGGAGAGAATCCCAGACGTAAACAAACTGAACTGAGACGCAGAGAAAGAGGGGGGGAGGAGAAAAGAAGAGCGTTAAAGTGTGCCAAAGACTTAGCTGTTTTGCGGATAAATTTGCGCTGTTTGAAAAAGGGCGAAAAGGTGTTCCTTAGTGTAAACAAAGTTGAAAATGGCCGGCACGAGAGGAAAAGCAGCGAGACAAGTTGGGCGGGGCGGTCAAAGTCCAAGGATTGAGGAAGGAGATGTGTTCTCCATGTTATCAGAGCTGCTCCGGCCCATTAATGAAAGACTCGATAGTATTAACCAACAAATGACTGCATCCAACCAGAGTTTGGCAAAGCAACAACAGCAAATGGCCGAGCTGGTGAAAAA